CAGCGTTCGTGCTGCCAGCCGGGCAGCCCCCGCCTACCAGCTCCAGCTTGAACGTGCAGCAGCTGCCGGACCGAGTGACCGGCGGTGAGTCCTTGGGAGGGGCCCACCTCCCTGCCCTGGCCAGCCCCGCCTGCCCACTGCCCGACTCACGGACCCCATGCTGTGCCCGCAGTGGACACTGACCCCCACTTCATCATCCACGTGCCCCAGAAGGAGGACGCCCTGTGTTTCAACATCAACGAGCAGCCTGGGGTGATCCTGAGCTTGGTGCAGGACCCCAACACAGGTACCGGCTGCACTGCACCTGCCGTCTTCACACCCCAGCCCCTGGCTGGAGCCTACATATGGTGGGCGGCCCATGCAGACACACACGCCTATGCCTGGGGCTGGGTGGGGCTGCTACTCCGATGCTCTGCTCTTGCTGTCTTGAAATCCTGAGGTTTTTCAACAAGGGCAGCCCCTCATCTTTATACCATATTACACCCTGCAAATCCCTGGGGGCCCTGCCCTGCCCCCGCACTAGCATGGCTGAACAGAGCCCTAAGTTCACCCAGTGCACCTCTCCCAGCCCACTGCCTCCCTCACCACCTCCCGGCCCCATCAGCTCATGTCTGGTGAGCATCTACTATAGTGCGAACCGAGGCAGCCCCTGCCCCGCTGAGTTTCAGGGAGGGAGAGAAACACAGACTTGCATGGCCATTTCTGGCCTGGAGACCAGCCGTGCTGCTGTAGTGAGCGTGGGAAGGGGGGTTCTGGGTGTTCAGGCGCAGGAGGCGCTGTGAAGAGGCCCCACAAGTGCACTCCCAGCCCCTCTCGTGAGCCTGCTCCCATGCAGGGCCAGGCCTGACCCCAGGGAGGCAAGACTTCTGCCAGGCCAGACCCAGGGCTAAACGCGGGTGTTTTGTGTTTCGTGTGGCGGGAGGTGGGAGGCAGGGCAGGGAGACGGCAGGAGGAAAGGGGAAAGGGAGGTGGTGCTGTGTGAGGGCCCGGGTGGAGTGTCGGGGCCTCCTGGGAAGGAGGCGTGCCCTGACCCAGGGCCCTCACCCCTCTACAGGCTTTTCAGTGAATGGCCAGCTCATCGGGGACAAGGCCCGGAGCCCCGGGCGGCACGGGGGCACGTACTTCGGGCGGCTGGGCATCGCAAACCCTGCCACAGGCTTTCAGCTGGAAGTAACTCCTCAGAACATCACGCTGAACCCCAGCTCGGGTGGGCCCGTGTTCTCCTGGAGGGACCAGGCTGTGCTGCGGCAGGAGGGGTAACCCGGCCGGCCCGGGAAGCAAGGCGGAGGGAGGGTGGCCCAGGCCCAGGCCGGAGGCTCCCGCACCAGCCAGCTCCATGCCTGAGCCTGCGGGGCTCATCCTCAGGCTGTGCCAGGGGTGATGCCCACGGGGTGGGCGCCGGCGGGTGAGACCCTGGGAACCACCCCACCCTCCTTCCTGTGCAAGCGCTCAGGGCCTGGCTGCCTGTGCCCCCGGGGCGCCCTGGCCCTGAATCTACCCCATCTCCACCAAGCAATGCCAGGCCAAGCACAGAGACCACCTCTTCCCTGAAGCCCTCCTACTCTGCTCCTCTGCTGAGTCCCAGAGTTCTCTGGACTCCCCTTTGGCACCTGACTCATGCTTGCTCCTTCTCCCACTCATTCACTCCACAACTCTGCTGGGCAGCAGTTACAGGGAGAGGCGCCCAGAGCTGGCGTGGAAGACACAGATGGGAGTTGAGAAAATAGACTCTGATATTAGGTCGGAGCTTTAAGCCTTGGTTCCAATGCTGTGTAACCTCAGGCAAGCTACTTAACCTCTCTGAGCCTTGATCCTTACAGGGTCAGCATTAGCTCCCCCCACCCCGAAAACTGCAGCTGTGAGAGTGAAGGCCGTGGCCAGCGGCACGGGGTGGGGGTGGTCATACCGCTGGGCCCATGCCCTCACACCCGTCTGGCCCTGCAGGGTGGTGGTGACCATCAACAGGAAGAAGAACCTGCTGGTGTCCGTGGACGGCAGGGCCACATTTGAGGTGGCCCTGCACCGAGTGTGGAAGGGGAGCACAGCCCCCCAGGACTTCCTGGGCTTCTACGTGCTGGACAGTCACGGCATGCCGGCCCGGACACACGGGCTGCTGGGTATGGCCAGCCAGGCGGGGGCAGAGCTGGGGGCGGCATGTTGGAGCCAGAGGGCTGCTGGGGCCTGGGGCACCCACACGGGCCCACAGGCAACCCGGCCTCCAAGGCTCAGAGCTCTGGAGAGGCGGCCGTCCTAGACACAGAAGAGGCCTTCATCCCCCGTGATCAGCCCCACAGTGAAACCAAAGCCCAGGGAGCCTGCCGTGGCGGGGGAGAGGCCTGGGGAGCAAGCAGAGGCCTCACGAGTGACCACACCGCTCCCCTGGGCACCCGCCCCCCACGCCTCTCCCTGGAGCTAGATCCCTCTGGGACTGGTTTTAAAAGACAGGAGGAAGGACTAGCTGGAAATATGAACACCTGCTCCTCCATGCAAGGGAACAAAAGCTGGCCGTGGGCGCCGAGACAGACTCAGCCCTGGGAAGACCCCTGGGGAGCACCCCCGCCCCCGCCAGTAACGCCAGCGTGCCTTTCCAGGACAATTCTTCCACCCCTTCCACTTTGAAGTGTCCGACCTCCGCCCAGGCTCCGACCCCACCAAGCCGGACGCCACCATGACGGTGAAGAACCGCCGGCTGACGGTCACCAGGTGCGTGGGCTGCTTTGGGTTCCGATCGTGGATCCCGGCCTTCTTCCAGGTGTCACGCGGCTGGGTGAGCTTCCCAGAGAGGCGCAGCCCTGCCAGGTCCCAAGGTGACCCCAGCTGCCTTATCTCCACGCAGGGGCTTACAGAAGGATTACAGCAAGGACCCCCGGCACGGGGTGGCAGTGTCCTGCTGGTTCGTGCATGACAACGGAGCTGGCCTGATCGACGGCGTGCACACTGACTACATCGTCCCCGACATCTTCTGAGCTGGCGCCAAGTACCTGTTCCCCACCAGGCCCATTGCGGTGGCGGCGAACAGCACCCCGACCTGTGGCCAGGCCACGCCTCCAGTGTCAAAGCACCCTGAGACTTCTATTAAAGAGTGCTGTGTCCCACCCAGAGCCGGCTGCCTTTGGAGAGGGAAGCTGGTGGGGGGCAGCCCGAGATCTGCCCCTCAGATGAGCTCAGGGATCACAGCAAACTCAGGGCTGGGAGAAGCAGGCAGAGGCCCGTGCCAGCTCTGCCCCTCCATGTCCTGCTCTCTGCAGTGAGCCCCTGGCAGGCCTGGAGACACAGAGAGCAAGCTCTGGCAGTGTGGACCATCACAGCATCCCTGTACCTTACCTGAAATTCAGCTTAGCTCCCTGGGGCGGGTTCGGCACAGCGGCTAAGACAGCGCTGGGGACGCCTGTATCCCACGCTGCAGGGCAGGTTCGGCTTTCGTCTGGCCCAGTCCCAGTTGCTGTGGGCATCTGGGAAGTGAACCAGCATGTGGAGGCTCTCTCCTGTCAGTCTCTCTCCCTCTCAAAGAAATAAACAAGCGCATGCTCCCAACAGCCCTGGGGGTGGGGGTGCTTTCAAACCCATGACCAGCTGAGGGAACTGAGGCCAGGTGGGCGTCTGCACTCACCCAGCTGGAGCCCCCATCTGAACTCAGGCTACGCCCCCACCACAAGAGCCAGGCCAGTCCTCTCCCTGCCAGAAGCTGGGACTGCCCGGGCCAGGACTGGCACCCCCTGTCTCCCCACACTGTCATGTTCGTGCCTGCTGCCCATTCAGAGTGTACCCCAGCGCTATTGACGATGCCTGCCGGGCCCTCCGCACACACCCCCTTGAAGGAGCCTGACCATTGGGACCCCGTTAAATGCCACGTCAGAGGGCAGTGAGACCAAGCCACACTCTGGGAGCCACTGGCCAGGCCTTTCCAAAGGACTTCCGCCTTTTTCTCCTTCCGGCTTCCATCTGGCTCCACTGCACACGAGGCCTGTGAGGGCCCAGCTAGGACCCGGATTGGCTTTGAGGGCCCAGTTCAGTAACACAAATAACTCAATAATAATAACAACCAGGGGGCCCAGGAGCACAGAGCCAGCCGGCGGACGGTCAGAGGCCACCGCCTTGCAGAGGGCTGGGCTTCCTGAGGGTCAGTCAGCCTGGATGGCCAGCTGCCGGGGCCATGCTTGCTCAGGGGCACCTCCTCTTCCCTCCTGGAGAGGGGTGACCCCGAGGATCTCTGGGATCCTGCTTCTGTCCCTGCGGAGGTCTCTGGCCCTTGGGGGGCCCCTGAGAAGTCCCAGACTCCCTATTTTGAGCCACACACTGGGGAGCTGGCGGCAGCCCGGAGCGCTACAAGCAGCTGCAGGGCCGTGAACGGGAGCACAGGGCCATGCCCGTGAGCAACCCCAGGTGCGGCAGATGGCCCTGCGGGCGACATGTCCCAAGGCCAGGGTCAGGCTGCCGCTCCGGGGTCTTCTCCCCAGGCACCGGCACCCGTTTGGCCCCTGGTTGCAGAGAAAGGGGGGCCCATGCCACGGGAGAGAGGAAGCTCCAGAGGGACAGTAGGAGCCAGACCACAGGAAGCGCTGGGCTGCAGGAGCTCTAAGGCCTCAGGAGCCAGAGCAGAGAAGTGTGCAAGGTCTGAGGCTCAGGGTGAGAGGCCTGCTTCCGAGCCCTGCCCGCTGTGAGGAGGAGGAGGGGGCCACCGTGCTCGGGGCCAGAGCTGAGGCCACACTGGCAACAGGCACAAGAGGTGGTGATGCTGAGACGGCCACCTGCGCAGAATGCAGCTCCACACCCGGCTCCCGCACCCACACCAGGGAGCCCAGGGCCCGCTCCCTGACACCTGCTCTCCCAGGGCCTCCGTGCCTGCTGCCCGTTCAGTGTGCCCCAGCGCTATTGACAATGCCTGCCGGGCCCTCTGCACACACCCCCATGAAGGCTCTGCCCTCCACCCCTGCCCAGCTGCCGGGAAGAGCCTCCGCCTCCACATTCCAGCCCCGTGCAGGTCACTGACCCTGTTGGGAAACCACAAGGCTGGCTCATATAAGGAGCGTGGGCCAGGCCTGCACGCTCAGCCATGGCGTCTGCTCAGTGGCTCGGCCTCGTCCTCGCTCTGCTCTCCAGCTTGGCCGCCTCTGGCTTCCCGGGGAGCCCCTTCCGGCTGCTGGGGGTGAGTCAGCCTCTTCTTCACCCTTGGGGCTTCCGGGGTCAAATGGGCAGAAGGCAGCTCCCTGGGCCAGTTCTCTGAGCCATTGGAAGCAGTGCCCAACGTTGGGCAAACAGGGTTCCTGCCAGGGTTCATCCTGGCTTGCTGTCCGGCCCAGGCCGTGGTCTTTCACCGAGGGGCTGGAGGGTCCGAGTTGTCTACAAAATGCTGAGTTTCAAGTCCTAGTGGGAGTGGTGGGGGTTGGGTTGCTGTGGAAGGAGGCCCGGGGTCAGGGAAGGGTGGAATGAGACAGAAGGGCTGGGGTAGAGAGGGCACACAGATAGCCCCGGGCTCTGCACCCCCCGCCCTGCCTTTCTCTGGAGCTCAGTTGCCCCCTGTACTCCAAGTCTGTTTCTCTCTGGCACATGGCTCTGGGAGGGCTCTGTGTCTGGAGACCCCTCAAGGTAGAGGTGTGTGTGTGAGAGGTGGTGGTGGTGGTGTGTGTGTCTGTGTGTGAGGGGTGGTGGTGGTGGTGGTGGTGGTGTGTGGTGTCTGTGTGTGTGTGGTGGGCATGGCTGGACCCTGATCCCAGTGCAGAACCTGCTCCCAGGCCATGCTGGCCTTGCCCCTGACCTAACCCCTGTGTTTGCCTTTGTTTTTGCAGAAACGGAGCCTTCCAGAAGGGGTGAGAACTTTCACCAGGATGGGGGCTGGGTGGGACAGGGCAGGACGGAGCTGCTTGCCCAGGGCTGAAGGTGGGGGCCTGAACAGCTGGCCAGCAGCTCCAGGCCCCGTGTCCTGGCAGACGCCCATGTCACAAGAACCCTGGGGGAGAGCACCACGGAACCACGGCCCCTGCAACCGGGGCAACGAGCCCCCTGTTGGGGGCACCACCCCTGCCTCCCCCGACCCTTGCCGAGCCCTTGCGGGCCCTCGGCTCTGTGTGCAGGCTGCGAGCACCCACGATGGCCCTGTGGCCCCTCGCCCGGCACCTTTCTATCCCGCTCCCCTCGGGTTCTCCCAGCGCCTCCCTCAGTCTCTCGCCCTGCAAAGAGGGTGTCTGGGACTCCCCGTGACACAGGAGGGAGGAGTGCAAGAGACACGGGAGGAGGGCTGGCGTGCGAGTGTGAGTGTGCATGTGTGCAAGAGAGGCAGGAAGAACCTGGGGCTCAGGACGACGACCAGGAGGAAGACTCCGGGGGACTTCAGGGCCGAGGGGAGGAGCCTCCCAAGGGTGGTGGGAGCCGTGGGGAGGCTTTCGGCAGGAGAGGGTCAGGGCCAGGTTTGGGTTTTTGCAAGATCTCACCAGCTGTAGCTGTGCACCAACAGAGTTCAGTGCTAAGGTGGGGGAGCAAACAGCAGAACCACAGTGGCCAACAACGGGCGGTGGGGGGAGGAGGCTGCAGTGGCTGCTCGCTAAGCAGGGCTTTCAGGAGCTACAAGGGGGCGGTAGGAAGGGAGGTAGCCAGGCTCAAGACCTGGTCCCCCCCACCGTGCCCCTGTCTGGCTGCTCACCACCTGCTCGTCCCCATGCACCCCCCACCAAGGCTGTCAACGGCATTGAGATCTACAGCACCAAAATCAACTGCAAGGTGACCTCCCGCTTCGCGCACAATGTCGTCACCACCAGGGCTGTCAACCGCGCAGACACGGCCAAGGAGGTTTCCTTTGACGTGGAGCTGCCCAAGACGGCCTTCATCACGAACTTCACCTTGTGGGTGTCACCCTGACCGCTGGCTCTGGACTCCGGGCTGGGGGACCCTGGCCCAGGGCGACGCTCCCCAAACTGCCTTTCTCGGCAGGACCATCGACGGTGTGACCTACCCTGGCCACGTGAAGGAGAAGGAGGTTGCCAAGAAGCAATACGAGAAGGCCGTGTCCCAGGGCAAGACGGCAGGCTTGGTCAAGTGAGAGCGGAGAGCCCCACGGCCAGGGCCTGTTCAGAGACGCGAGCAGCCACAACATTACTATTACTGCTAGGGCAAGAATGTGCCCGGAGTTTACAAAGGATCCCGTCGGGAGATTGTAGCTAAGGCAGCTCAGAACGTTTAAGGGTCTCCCTTAGCACAGGGCTGGGACTTGAACCCAGGGCCAAGAAAGAGGGGGCCCAGGCGGCCGTTGGGGGTGGTCACTGTCTTGCACGCCATTCAGGGCCTCCGGGAGGAAGCTGGAGAAATTCACCGTCTCCGTGAACGTGGCCGCGGGCAGCAAGGTCACCTTTGAGCTCACCTATGAGGAGCTGCTGAAGAGACACAAGGGCAAGTACGAGATGTACCTCAAGGTCCAGCCCAAGCAACTGGTCAAGCACTTTGAGGTGATCCTGCACGCGGGCAGCCCCTGTTGAAACCGTCGTGGTGTGGGGAGGGCCCTGGGGCAGAGCTCGGAGCCCGAGCCCGCGGGGTCCAGAATGCAAGAGCGTGGGCCTGGCTGGGGGCAGGGGTGACAGTGGCTCTACATAGCATCCGGGGCCCGAGGAGGGCAGGCCGGGCTGGACCCGGCAGATCCAGATTGGGTTTTGGGCCTGTGGGACAGCACCACCAAGTGCCTCCGCCAGGCTTGTAACTGGGCACATGTGCAAATTCCGGCACAGCGAGCCCTTAGCCTGGGCACCGCAGAGTACTCCGGCCCCAGGGGTGGTGCGATCGGGACAACACTTTGGGTCCGAGTACCCTTCAGCCAGCCCCTGTGGGTGTCTTGGCTGGAGGCTGACCCTCAGCCCTGGTTCAGATCACTCCGGTCTCGCCTCGGCCCCATCCCCTTCCCCCGACCTCCGCATGTCAGTCACTGATGGCGACTCCTCCCCTTGGCATTTCAGATCGACGCACACATCTTTGAGCCCCAGGGCATCAGCATGCTGGACGCTGAGGCCTCGTTCATCACCAATGACCTCCTGGGCAGCGCCCTCACCAAGTCCTTCTCTGGGAAAAAGGTGGTGTAGACGCCTCTCAGACCTAGTGGGGCAGGGGCAGGAACACCGACCCCGGTGGGACACGCCAGGCCTTGGCGGAGGCAAGCACCAGTGCTGCCGGGGTTCCCTTTGTTCTGCTTTGGGCAGTGGACAGATGCCCACTTTCCTCCCTGCCCCCTCCCCCTCCTCTTGGCGCCGACATCCTAACACCCAACGTGAGGTTCCTTTCTTTGGTGCAAAACTCCCTTGCCCAAGTGGCTCCTTGGTGCTGAGCTCCGACGGGGGCCTAGCCAAAGGCAAATCTAAGGCTCACTCAGAAAGGCCCAGGCCCTCCCAGGAGGTCCTGATCTCCACGGGGCCGGGAGGTGCTCAGAAAGACCGCAGTGTGGTGAGAAGCTGTGTCCATGGCACCTGGGGGCCAGGTGCTCACCAGCTTGCGGGCAGGGCTGCCCAGGCCTCCAGCCCTTGCTGGTTCCTGCCCACCCAAGGGCTCCTCCCTGTGAGGGCTCCCTAGGGCAGTCTCCCAGTGCCCAGCCCTTGGCCAAGCTAAGCAAGGCCCTCCATCCTGTCCCCCAGGGCCATGTCTCGTTCAAGCCCAGCTTAGACCAGCAGCGCTCATGTCCTACCTGCACCGACTCCCTCCTCAATGGGGACTTCACCATCACCTACGACGTGAACAGAGAGTCTCCGGCCAACATACAGGTATGTGCCAGTGGCTCTGCTGAGCTGGCTGAGCCGCCACCCTGGCAGGAGGGACAGCAGCTGCATCTGGTACCATCACCGTCCACCGGCAGCCCAAGTCTGAGTGCTCCCGCCTGGCTGGGATAGCGCCCCCTGGAGGATGGGAAAGAAACATCTTCTTTTGGGGCTGGAGAAAGGTTGCCCATTGCTGCCAACGCGGACAGCAACCTCCACCCCTCTCTGCCCTTTCCAGATTGTCAATGGATACTTTGTGCACTTCTTTGCACCTCAAGGCCTTCCAGTGGTGCCCAAGAACGTGGTCTTCGTGATTGACGTCAGTGGCTCCATGTATGGGCGGAAACTGGAGCAGGTACCATCCTCAGTGCCAAGGCAGAGCTAGGGGTGGGAGAACGGGGGTAGGGGGAGGTTTCTTTTCCAGTGGGAAATGCTAGTGCTGCTGGCAAGAGGAGGACGGGGCCAGGACACTGGAAGGCGCGAAGCCTCCTGCCACTTTTTTTTAAAAAATGTATTATAAACTCTGTAATAAAGATAACAATCAATATTAACATATTTTATATTCAAAAATCCTAAATCTCATATTAGAAAAAATGTATTTCAGATTGAAGGTTAAAAAGCACGGAACATAAAAGGGAAAAGCAAGTGTAAATATACACTAAGAACATTTTAAACAACACAATGATTGATCATAACAGGTAGATACAAAAAAAGATGACAGGGTTTCCAATATCAGAATCAAGACAACTTCATCTTCACATGATAAAAAGTGGACCGCGACTTTATTCTTTTTTTCAGATTTATTTATTTGAAAGTCAGAGTTAGAGGGAAAGAGAGTTAGAGTTAGTGAGAGAGATACATCTTCTAATGGCTGGTTCACTCCCCCAGATGACTGCAATGCCCTGGGATGGGCCAGGCTGAAGCCAGGAGTCAAGAGCTTTCTTCAGGTCTCCCGCAAGGATGGCAAGGGCCCAAACACTTGGGCCATCTTCTGCTGTTTTCCCAGGCACATAAGCAGGGAACTGGATCGGAAGTTGAGCAGCCAGTACTCCAATTCATGCCCATGTGGGATGTGGGCATTGCAGGCAGTGGTTTTACCTGCTATGCCACAATACCGGCCCCAAGACTTTATTCTGAAAATGAATCATTGGGGGCTGGCACTGTGGTGCAGTAGGTTAAAGTCCTGGCCTGCAGCACTGGCATCCCACATGAGCACCAGCTCTCTGCTGTGGCCTGGGAAAGCAGCAGAGGATGGCCCAACTCCTTGGGCCCCTGCAGGAGACCTGGAAGAAGCTCCTGGCTACGGATCGGCCAAGTTCTGGCCATTGTGGCCATTTGAGGAGTGAACCAGCAGATGGAAGAACTCTGTCTCTCCCTCTGTCTGTAACTTGCAAATAATCTTTTTAATAAAAAGGAACAGTTATGTAATAAAGATACAAACTTGAACTTATCATAGCCCTTATCACCAAATCATGCACGAGAGAAACTTCAGATGCATGAGGGGAAAGAGACAGGAATAACGACAGATGGTTTTAACTCCCCTAGCTGTCCTGGTGCTCTCGCCTGGCTTGTATGGTTTGGTGGAAGTGGTTCCATCTGAAGTGCCTTCAGGCGCACCCACTCTCGCTAGTCTCCCACATTCCAGAACCCTCCTCATTGTACTGCATCCACTCAGCCTGTCATGGAACTCGCCCAAATCTATGGGAAATGAAAATCTATTCTAGCCAGCGCCGCGGCTCACTAGGCTAATCCTCCGCCTAGCGGCGCTGGCACACCGGGTTCTAGTCCCGGTCGGGGCGCCGGATTCTGTCCCGGTTGCCCCTCTTCCAGGCCAGCCCTCTGCTGTGGCCAGGGAGTGCAGTGGAGGATGGCCCAGGTGCTTGGGCCCTGCACCCCATGGGAGACCAGGAAAAGCACCTGGCTCCTGGCTCCTGCCATTGGATCAGCGCGGTGCGCCGGCCGCAGCACGCCTGCCGCGGCGGCCATTGGAGGGTGAACCAACGGCAAAGGAAGACCTTTCTCTCTGTCTCTCTCTCTCACTGTCCACTCTGCCTGTCAAAAAAAAAAAATCTACTCTGCCTGTTAAGTCTCACCAGTCACGAACAGCCCCGCCCATTCTTGGGCTGGGAAGAGGCCTCGCCCGCTGCTGCTCCTTGTCCGCCTGCCTCTCTCTTCCCCAGACAAAGGATGCCCTTCTCAAAATCTTGGAGGACATGCGGGAGGAGGACCACCTGAATTTCATCCTGTTCAGCAGCGACGTGACCACCTGGAAAGAACACTTGGTCCAAGCCACACCCGAGAACCTCCAGGAGGCCAGGGCCTTTGTGAAGAGCATCCAGGATCAAGGGAGTAAGCGGACGGGGCTGCGGCCTCCGCCCTGCTGGTCTCGGGGGTCCTCAGGCTTCGAGAAGGGGTCGTGGGGTAGCTTCCGTGTGGTCTACGGCAACTCACTCCTTCTGTTTCTGCCACCCAAGCGCTACCCAGGCCTGACCCTGCTTAGTTTCTGGGATCCTTAACGGGTAGTAGATGCCCAGAGCCATCTGCCTGCTTCTCCCCCACGATCGTGGGGCCCCACAGCCCCGGCAGGCCAAGGCCATGGGGGACCCTCTTCCTGGCAGATTCCTGAGCAGCCCCTCCCCCCAGCTGACTGCTGTCCAAAGGCCCCTTCAGCGCCCCCTGAAGTGTGCACCACTCATGCACTCCTGCATTGAAGCGTGCGGTCAGCACTGAGTTCCACCCGTGTGGGCAGACAGGGTCCTGGGGCACGCGCTCAGAGCCTGCTGCCCCCCCCTCTGCCCCAGCGTCCCGGCGCCCTAAGAACACCTGGCCACAGGGCTGGCTGTCTGTGTCCAGGCACCAACCTCAATGATGGGCTGCTGAGAGGGATCAGCATGCTGAACACGGCGCGAGAGGAGCACAGGGTGCCCGAGCGGAGCACCTCCATCGTCATCATGCTCACCGACGGGGACGCCAACTCTGGTGAGGGGCGTCCCCTACCTGCGGCCTGGGAGCCCCGCCCAGGCCTCTCCACCCTCCTCCCAGGATAGGGGCTCTGGCCGTGTGATCATGCCCCCCCCCCCCCCCGCTCCTGCAGGGGAGAGCAGACCCGAGAAAATCCAAGAGAACGTGCGGAACGCCATCGGGGGCAAGTTCCCCTTGTATAACCTGGGCTTCGGCAACAATCTCAATTACAACTTCCTGGAGAGCCTGGCCCTGGAGAACGACGGCTTCGCCCGGCGCATTTACGAGGACTCTGACGCCAACCTGCAGCTGCACGTACGCCTCGTCTTGCACACCTCCAGGGACGGGGGGCTCACTGCCTGCTCAGGTAGCTGTGCCGCTGTGGGGCAGCTCCATAGTTCTCAGGTTGCAATCTGTCTCGGTTGCTTCCCAGTACCGGTTCTGATTCTGTCCTTGAGCGACACAGACCAGACCCATGTTCTCCCTGGGACTGCCTGATCAGACACGGGATGTCCAGAACTGGGAGACCCCATGTTTTTGTTGCTCCCGGTCTAGGCTCCTGTGCTTTGCTGTGGCTGCCTGAGACCACAAGTACTGTGTCCCATGTGTCGCTGGGGAAAACCTACACTACAGGATGTATTCATTGCTTATCAGAAATGCACGTTTAACTGGACGTCCTGTGAAGCCCACGCCCATCTTCTTCTGTGCTTGAACCTGGCCCAGGCAGGGAGCGGCATCGCCACCTGGGCAGGTGGAGCCGTGTTGCCTCCCCGTCTGTGTCCTGGAGGCTGTCGTCACATAGCCTCCTCTCCTGGGGGCCGGGAGGGCTCCCGCAGACCGAGGGCCACAGTCAGGGCCACAGAGAAGTGAAAACCAGGAGGCAGGGGCTGGAGGGCCGCCCTGCCTGCGATGAGCAGCCCCGACCTGGACTGCAGGGTTTCTACGAGGAGGTGGCTAACCCGCTGCTGACGAGCGTGGAGATGGAGTACCCCAAGAACGCCATCCTGGACCTCACCCAGAACAGCTACCAGCACTTCTACGACGGCTCCGAGATCGTGGTGGCCGGGCGCCTGGCCGACGAGGACATGAACAGCTTTAAGGCGGATGTGAAGGGACACGGGGTGAGCAGGGCTGGGGTTGGGGGCTCAGCGTGCAGGGGTTGGTCCCCGAGTAGCAGCCCCTAGACCCGGCTCTCAAGCCGTGCCCCTGCCCCAGGCCTTGAACGACCTGACCTTCACGGAGGAGGTGGACCTGAAGGAGACGGAGGCGGCCCTGAAGGAACGGGAGTACATTTTCGGGAACTACATAGAGCGCCTCTGGGCCTACCTCACCATCGAGCAGCTGCTGGAGAAACGGTGACCCCGCCTACCTTGGGTCTCCGGCCCTGCCCCCACACATCGGACCCCCCCCCGGGGGGGGGATGCCACTCCCTAGAAAAGGGCACCTCACACCAGGCCTGGCCAAGCAAATCTTTCCAGGGCAGACCACAGGGACCCCAAGCCCCATTCTGGCCCTCCCTGCTGACCCAGTGCAGCCCAGGGATGGCGAGGCTGACCAGAGCGCTCCTGGTGGTCCCACCCACCTTGGCTTCAGTGGGATGAAGCCATGAGGGCCGGCAAGGGCCCAGCAGGGCTGAGCCTCGGTTCACAGAGTGATCATCAGGACGTTCAAGAGAAGCGAGGCTCGGCCAAGGGAGTTGGTGAACCGCTCTAGTCTGAGCCCCACAGTGGGGGACCACAAAGCGGGAGGTGGGGGGCATCCCCGCCGCCCCCCAGGAGCCAGGCCGGGAGCTGCTCTCCAGCTGCTGACCCCTGGCTCCTCCCTCCGCGTAGCAAGAACGCCCGTGGTGAGGAGAAGGAGAACCTCACTGCCCAGGCCCTGGACCTGTCCCTCAAGTATCATTTCGTGACCCCTCTGACCTCCATGGTGGTGACCAAGCCCGAGGACAATGAGGACCAGACGGCCATTGCTGACAAGCCTGGGGAAGGTGGGTCCAAAGAGGGAAGCCAGGTGCAGCGGACCCCTCCTGGACCCGGGCCCAGGCTGCGAAGACCCAGGCCTGCTAAACTGCGGCAGCTCCAGGGGCACCGGGAAAACCTGGCCAAGAGCCAGGCAGGTGGTCAGTGTGGGGGTGGGGTGGGGTCTGTGGGCGCCCCTGAGCCTCAAGGGCTGTGGGAAAGAGGCACTCAAGGGAAGGGACTGGGGTTGCAGCATGCAAGGGCTCAGTCAGACAGGAAGAAGGACTTCCTCCCTGACAAACAGGCCTGCAGCAGGCTCCTAGCCATCTGGGGACTGTGACACAGGCGGCCCCAGAGCACTAGAGGCTGGAACTGTGCCCCTCACCTCGACCTCGCCCTGCAAGCCTGCGTGACCGATGTGAGGGGAGAGCTGGCACCATCAGGACTGAGAAGCAAAGAGCTGGACCCAGCCAGGCCAGGCCCCTGGTTTCTAGGGACCTCTCATTCCAGGGGACACCCGTGGGGACACAGCTGGCTGCCCCCACTGGCTGTGTTTCCTAACGATGCCGCTTCTTCCTCCCTTGCTGCGCCCAGAGCAAGCACAGGGTGAGCTGCAGCGGTGGCCGGGAGGGAGCCAGAAGCTGGGACAGGGACTCCGGCGGGGGAGGGCCCTGGGCTCGGACCTGAACCCTCTCTGCACTCAGGGTGCCCCCCCACTCAAGGGAGGACAATACACATCAGAGCCTTCGGCGAGGGGCAGGCGCTGACCCTCGGCTCAGCCCAGAGCAGCCCTGTCCCCCGCCACAACAAAGTGCGGTGGCCCCAGCATCGCAACCACATCTTATCACATTTCACAGCAGTGCCAGAAAGGGGTTCCCTGGGCACGGCCCATTTCTAAAGCCCAAACCTGGGGGTCACAACCCCATCTTCCACCTGCCAGGGTTGGGGCCCCCTGGGGACTGGTAGCCTCAAGAAAGGCAAAAGGCTTGGGGCTAGAGGAGCGGGAGCCCCGAGGCCCCGCCCCTGACCGCTCCTTGGTTCCTTGCAGCCACCTCTCAGACCTCATTCTCGGCCTACCGGAGTGAGTACTTGGCCCCTCTGGCTCAGGCAGATGGACCGCTGTGCTGGGGGCGGGGAGGGGGAGGAGTGAGAGTCCTGGAGAGCAGCAAGGCCCAGGGCAAGAGCCGCACCCTGGGTGGAGGAGCCAGCACCTCCCCAGGGCCGCCTGCGAGCTCAGCCCGGTCTCCCCTGATCCGCAGCCAGCTACCAGCCGCCGCTGGGGTCCGCAGCCAGCTACCAGCCGCCGCTGGGAACGCCCTACTACTACGGTGAGTTCCCGGGCTCCTCCCTACCTGGCCACGCAGCCCACGGAGGCCGCAGGCACGGCGAGGGGCTCTGGGAACCGGCCTCTTCTCTCGTGTGTCCCCAGTGGACGGAGACCCCCACTTCATCATCCAAGTCCCAGAACAAGACGACGCCATCTGCTTCAACATCGACGAAGAGCCGGGCACGGTGCTGCGCCTCATCCAGGACCCGGCCATAGGTGGGGGCGGGGGGCCGGGCCAGGTGGCTCTGCAGTCCCGCGGGCGGGCTCAGGGGCCAGGTCTTCCTCACTCTGCCTGGTGACACGCGCACAGCACAGCCAGGCAGGCCGGATGTGGGGACACTTGGGCCACAGGTTCGCCAAGTCCCCAGGTGCCAAGTGCTACTGGACAGACAGCTCAATTAGCAGGCAGCCTGGGCCCGGGGCGACTCCACCTGCATCTGGGGACACAGTTTTCCTCTGAATGACACTCGCTGACCCAGACTCAGCAAATCGGCAACATCCCTGCGTGAGCCAGAGCCAGGGTGTCCGGGAACAGTCAGGGCTGGGCTCTGAAGTCCTGGTGTCTCCTGGGGCCCCGACACCGCTGCCCCTTAGTGGGCCTCCAGGCCAGGTCTCTCTCGCTGCCCCCATTCCCCTGGCAGGCCTCACCGTGAATGGGCAGATCATCGGCGACAAGAAAAGCAGCCCGGACTCTGCCACCAGGAAGACTTACTTTGGGAAACTGGGCATTGCCAGCGCTCACATGGACCTCCGCATCGAGGTGACCACGGAGAAGATCAGCCTGTGGAACGAGGTCGGGCGCAGCACCTTCAGCTGGCTGGACACAGTCACGGTCACGCAGGATGGGTACGGGCCTCCCGGGAGCTCTCCAAGGTGTGAGGGCTGGAGGCGGCGCATCAGAGGTTTGGACAAATCCCAGGAAAGGAGATCCCCCGCGGTCTCGGCAGGCTGGGGGCCCCAGCGTTTCGTCCTCTGCCCCCAGGGGTCCCCAGCCAGCTCCGGGTGCCCCATCTGAGCCAGAATCGGGAGCTCAACAGTTCTGAGCACTGACGCCTGGTTGCGTCTTCTCTGGCTGAACTCTTAGTTCTCAAACTCCTCAGCCCCCGAGTCTGGTGCGTAGGCCAGGGGCGCTGCTCCCACAGAGGCTCAGCGAGGGGGCAGGACCCGCCCGGGCTCACACGGGAAGTCAGGGGCTGAGACGATGCGGAAGCGTGGAGGACACACACGACATGCACGAGGCCTGCTTCTCGGCCACTCCCGAGATGGCTTCTGCAGTCCGCGTGCCCCCACGTGCCTCGCAGAGCGCGCGCTGCGGAGACGCCCGGTGGCACACAACGCCTCTGCCTGCCTCTTCCCTCCTAGGCTGTCCATGACCATCAACAGGAAGAAGAACATGGTGGTCTCCTTTGGGGAAGGGGTTACCTTTGTGGTCATCCTGCACCAGGTGTGGAAGAATCACCCCATCCACCAGGACTTTCTAGGCTTCTACGTGGTGGACAGCCACCGGATGTCAGCATGGACGCATGGGCTGCTGGGTACGGAGGCTGACTGCAGGCTGCTCAGAGCACTGGGGAAGACATGCCCTGGGTCACCCTCCAGCCTCCCTGGAGAGCCAGTGGCCACGGTACCGTGGCAGTGGCAAAAGGGCTGACAGTGTGACTGTGTCCGTTCCCAGGGCAATTCTTCCACCCCTTCGACTTCAAGGTGTCTGACGTCCACCCAGGCTCTGAGCCCACCAAGCCCGACGCCACGATGGTGGTGAAGAACCGCCAGCTGACCGTCACCAGGTACCCTCTGGCTCCCCACCCAGCAGCAGGACAGGCCGAAAGAGCCCCCTCTGCCGAGGCACACTGGCCAGTAGGCTCTCGCCTTCTGTGGGACACCCTGGCCTCCCTCTCAGGTCTTGGCCCTGTCTAGGTTCCTCCAAGTCAAGGCAAAGCCCACACTCAGCTCGCTCCCAAGAGTAACCCTGTGACCTCATTCTGCTTCTTAGCACTGCCACCTTCACACCATTTCCCAGCCACAGGGCCGTGGCCACAGCACCCTCTCTGCTTTCTCCCAGGGGCTCTCAGAGAGACTACAGAATGGATGCCAGGGCCGGCACCAAGGTCGCCTGCTGGTTCGTCCACAACAACGGGGAAGGGCTCATTGACGGCGTCCACACGGACTATATTGTCCCCAACCTGTTCTAAGTCTACCCAGTGGCCCCATGGAGGCAGCTGGCCCAGGGGCGCACGGCGGGGTCTATGGGAGGGGCTGGGATAATAAAGCCTACTGTGGACGCCAGGCAGCTGCCAGCCTCTCCATGCCTCCAGGTACGGCAGCCAGGACCGAAAGCAGCTAAAAGGACGGGATGGTTGGGGGACGGTGACTTGGGGGGCCTCTCAACTGAGAAAGCTCAGAGACGGTTGCTTGAGTTTGTACCTTGGGGAATCAAACGTACAACGGCTCGGGAAGGAACAAGTCAAGAAGCGGCCCCTGAGCAAAGGGGCTCGGAGAGGCAGGAAGGGCCGAGTGCCCGTCGGTGTTTGGGACGATCGTAGGCACAGTCAGGGTCCTGCTTCTGGAGCTTCAGCGAGGACCTTCGGAGAACAAAGCGCTCCAGGCCGACTGACACAGAGGGGTGTCTCCTCCCTGCATCCAGCCCTCCCCCGGCCCCGCCAGCCAACCAACAATCCATTCATCCATTCACCCTCGCATCCACCCACCCACCTCCCCACGCACCTGCTCACTCACCATCCATGCAACCGCCTACCCTTCCTCGAACCGTCCTGCCCATCGTCCACCCACTCATTCACCATCTCATCACGCACCTCTTCGTCCACCCACTCAACCAACTACCCATTCGCCCGTCGACCCTCCTCCTTTGACTCAGCGGATAAACAGAACCCCCCAGGCCAGGATCTGGGGCACACAGTTGGGTAATGTAGCTCCTGTTTTCATGGTGTCAGCTGGGCCAGGCATCTCCAGGCTCCCCCAAGCTCACCTCCAGGTCACTGGCACTTGTTCTACCCTCTCGATGAGTCTGGGCTGGCATGGGGGTCGTCGGGTCCTGCCGAAGGGGCTGGACAATACTCCCCCACCTGGATGCCTGCGATGTCCCTGCCTGGGTCTCTCTGCCTCCCAGAGACGTCCCCACAAATGACAGCTCCTATCCACTGCTCTTGGGACCAAGGCAGACATCCCCCCTCGGCCCCTCCAGCTTCCCTCACTCTCTGGGTTACCAACACAAGGCCACTTCCAGCTGTGCAGATGTAAGCCCCTGCCCCAGATCCACTGCTTCTGTTCTTGGCGCTTAGGGGTTGGGGGAATGCTGGCCAGAGGGGACTCTGCTTGAGGCAGAGCAAGGGGCACATGTGCTGGGGAAGGGGGCATCAGCCTGGGAAAGCCAGGAGCACAAAGGGAGTGGCATGCGGCCCTGAGGTCAGTTTTCCCATCTGTGAAATGGGAAGAACCATCCTGCCAGATGGAGGGCGAGCCTATTATGCCTCCAGCAAAGCACTAGGCTGCCGTTAGCCCTCAGCCACGGGCACCACAGAGGCCGAGGACTGGGGTGGGAGGGGTACCTGAGCACGGGTGGAAGCGGCCTACACGGTTTCCGGTCGTCCCGGAGGAGCCCCTGTCTGCCCTGCTGCTCTAGCCAGCAGCCAAGTGAGGGGGCCAGGAGGAAGGCAGGTCCCCGTCGTCCTCTCCCAACACACGGGCCAAAGTAGGTAGCTGTTCTCTCCCCAGTCCCTGGTCACCCTGGCTCCGCCTGCCCCTGCCTACGACCTGGCCATCTGCACACGGGCAGTGCGGTGTGGCGTGGTGGGGTGCACACAGCCTGTGCCGGCCCGGCACAGCTCTCCCGGGACAGGGGCACGGTTCACTCAGATTCTTTTAGTGAAACCTTGTTTTCCCAGCCTGGGGGACTGTAAAGCAGACGGGACCTTGTCCAGCCCCGGGTGCTGGCCAGGGGCTGCAGCAGCATTTTAAATGGGTGGTTTGCTCTTGGCTCCCTGTTTGTACCACGCAGGGACTTGACTTAAAGCTGACTGTGGCCTTGCTGACCACAGGACCTTGAGCACTGTGACAGATGCTAACGCGGACACGGCCCAGGGTGTGCCCAGATGCAACCACACACAGTGACTCCCTGGGCTCACCGCTTTATTTGGAAAGAGTGGGAACCTCCTGCCCCCTGGGATCCGGCCCCCCAGGTGGCCCTGCGGTCACAAGGTGGCCCCCATCTGGAGGCAGCAGGTGGCATGAGCTCTGGCGCAGGGCTCCTCCCAGCAGAACTACAGCTCCACAGACCAGCAGGCAGTCTCCCTTCCCGGAGGCCCCTCTTGGAAATCCAGCCTGTGCTCTCTGGGATGGGTGCATAGACAGACAGACAGACAGGTGGTCAACAAATCTCAGGGGTGCTGGGGAGACAGCAACATGGAAAGTGCAGAGTCCCAGGGTCCCTCTAGAACTCCCGCCAGTACAGGCCAAACGAGGCCCAGCCACCCCCAGGGTGACCCAAGGCGACCCGGTAGGGGTGGAGGGGAGAGGGCCTCTGCTCTGCCCGGCCACCCCGTGACCTCGGAGCCAATGTGTTTCCGGGGCCTGATCCCACTGTCCTTTGTGGGATCGCCATGAGCTGCTGCGGCGTGCCTCAGGCATCCACCTCTCTCTGACTGCTTCTAGTCCCTGGGTAAGGACGGATGGGGCCCTGCAGAGCCCAGTCCCCCAGCCCCCGCTCCACGGGCGGGCTCCATGGCCTGTGCTGTCACCTGGTGACAAGGTAGTCAGCCTGAGCCTTCAGGATCCACTGGTCGGCTGCCGTAGGGGAAGGCCTCAAGAGCACGCGGGGGTAAAACTGGCCTGAGACACAAAGGTTGGGTCAGCAAGGGGCGAGGCCAGGGAGAGGCCGGGGAGGGGCACCGCCCGTTCCCGGGCAGTAGGACGCCTGGGCCGCGGGCAGAGTACCAATGGTCCCCTTGACACTGCTGGAGAAGCGGTCAGTGTCGTGGAGGAGCAGCAGCAGTCCCATCTTGGGGCCATCCCAGGGCAACAGGCCGACGGTCACTCTGTGGAGGCCCCCGATCAGCAGGAGCCCTGTGTCGTCCATGGTCATCTTCAGGCTGTGGAGAAACCCAGCCTCCTAAGCAGGTGCGGAGACAGCAGCCCGGACCACCAGCAGGTGAGGTGGGCAGGGGCTGGGGCTCTGCTCTTGCCCAGGTGCTCACGTGGGCCTTGGGAGCAAAGACCCTGAAAGTGTGCCGACTTCATCTCCCTCACGGGCAAAATGGGGCCAAAGTTAACTCAAAGGCACCGAGTTTCTCCAGCATTGTAAAATAAAATAAAATAAAATAAAATAAAATAAAATAAAATAAAACAAAACAAAACAAAACAAAACAATGCTCCTTTTCCTGATCTTACATCGGGACCTCATGATTGAGTGCCCTATGCTTAGAGGTCCCCCTGATAGGTCTACTCTGTCCCTTCTGTGTTCATGGCTGGTGCCACTTCCATGGGATTATGTGTTTTATTTTTTATTTATTTATTTATTTTGACAGGCAGAGTGGACAGTGAGAGAGAGAGAGAGACAGAGAGAAAGGTCTTCCTTTTCCATTGGTTCACCCCCCAATGGCCGCTGCTTCCTCCTGGTCTCCCATGCGGGTGCAGGGCCCAAGGACCTGGGCCATCCTCCACTGCCCTCCCAGGCCACAGCAGAGAGCTGGACTGGAAGAGGAGCAACCGGGACAGAATCCAGTGCCCCGACTGGGACTAGAACCCGGGGTGCCGGCACCGCAGGCGGAGGATTAGCCTAGTGAGCTGCGGCACCGGCCGGGATCATGTGTTTTAGTGTCCAGAGGGTGAGTCTCTCCCTGTTCCATCCCATCCTCTCTTCCTTGGAAAGGTCATGGGAATTCTTGCTGTTTTGGCTTTCTTGGCAATGTCAGGCTCCTTTATGCATGCAGCATAAGACCCTACTGTCACTCCGAGATTATTGTCACTGTCCCAACCGACCTGACTCAACCTAGAAGCCATGGTGGGGTGCAGGCACGCAGTGCACAAGTTTAGAGTTCGCTTTGGACTCCCGGGTCCCACATCAGTCTAGGCTGCAGTTCTAGCGACTCCACTTCTGACCCAGCTTCCTGCTAATGCATCCTGGGAGGCAGCAGGTGACGGCTCAAGTACTTAGGTCCCTGGCATCCACGTGAGAGATGTGGACTCAGTTCTGGGGTCCTGGCTTTGGCCTGGTCCAGTGCTGACTATTGCAAGCATCTGGGAGCGTGAACCAGCAGATCCAAGATTTCTCTATTTCTCCTTTTCAAATGAGATGAAAAAAATAATTATTTTAAAAAAAGTTGAATTTAAAAACCATGGTTTATTATTTATTTATTATTATTTATTATCTTTGAGAGTACCTCAAAAAGTTCCTAGAGAAATAGGATTAAGCCGGCGCTGTGGCACAGTGGGTTAAAGCCCTGGCCTGCCATGCCAGCATCCCATATGGATAGCAGTTCAAATCCGTCTGCTCCAACTCTGATCCAGCTCCCTGCTATGGCCTGGGAAAGCAGTAGAAGATGGCCCAAGTCCCTGGGCCCCTGCACATGCATGAGAACTCCTGGCTCCTGGCTTTGGATCAGCTCAGCTCCAGCTGTTGCAGCCATTTGGGGAGTGAACCAGCAGATGGAGGATCCCCACCCCCGGATCTACCTCTAATTCTGTCTTTCAGATAAATAAAATAAATCTTTTTAAAAAATACATTGAAATCAAATACTTGAGGAGATTTAAAAAATTTGATGGGAGATGGGTGTTCTGAAAAAAACTAGGCTCAGATTTTCAACGTTTTTTGCGGTCAAACTTATCTTTTTGCTGCATTTTCCGGGGACTTTCCCAAGTCCCCGTGTGCGTCTTTTAGAGATCGTGAATGTACTCGGGGTTTCTATGAGCGCCAGGAACAGGCGTTCCATGTGCCTGAGTCTCTCCAAGGCACAGAAATGCTATCGACCCCCGGGCATCCACCAGACACAAGCTTCCAGACCTCCTGGGAAATGGGTGAGCCTTGCAGAAGAGGCCTCTGGGTTTCCAGGGTCGCCCTCACGCTTCGGGTGGAAACGGGGACCTGCTGCTGGCTCAGGGAGGGGCCGACGGACAAGGCTCTCCTCCCTGGGGAACAGGTGGGCGCTGGCTCAGGCTGGGGGCTCAGCCCCTCTCGGAGGCCTGCTGTGACCTGCAGAGCAGTGAGCAGTCCCTGGAAGGTCTAGGGTCGGGGGGCCCCGCCACCCAGAGTGCTGTCCCCTACCCACTGTCTGACAGCTGGACTCTGTCCCCACCGGAGCTCAGGGCGATGCTCATGAGGTCTGCTGCGGACCGCGCTCTGCACCTCTCCTCCCTCCATGCTCACCAGGCTGGTGCCCCCCGGCGCCATTCCCTCACTGCACCCCCACCCCCACCCCACCCCCACCACCAGGATGATGAATCGCAGGTGAGAACCCGAGGCTCCAGCTGCAGCAAAGGAGCAGCAGCTCACACTGGGCTCGGGGGAGGGGCCGGGCTGCCCAGGACGGCTCACTGCTCCTTGCAGCCCTGTAGCCCCCTGTAGGGGACGTGGCCCAGCCCCTCCCCTGCCCTCTGCCACCACCTCCCCAAGCTGGTGCAGCCAGAGAGGCCGGCGCGCTTACCCCGGCAGTGAGTTGAACAGCGTCTTCCTCCACTTGTACTCCCAGTTTCTCCGGTTCCGAGTCACCACCACCTGCTCAGGGGTCGCGTGAACCTGCAGCTCGGGCTTCCGGACCGTCACCTTGATCCACGAGAACCCAGCCTTCTCCATCTCGTACTGGCCAGTCACCTCGATCCCTGAGCAGGCCCGGCCAGGGAGGTCATGGCACGGCCCCAGTCCCCAGGGCCACCTCCCAGCTGTCTCCAGCACTCCTCTCCTGGGGCCTGCTGTCCACAACCTCCCCTGGCCCCCAGGGCCTCCAGCGGGCATCGCAGGGGCCCTGAGCTCAGCCCTCAGCAGAGACCTCTGAGAAAGGAGGTCACTGAGGCCCTGCGACAGGCCTGGGCCTGGGCTAATCGCTGGCTCCTGGTGGCAGGGAGCCCACAGACGCCTGGGCCTGGGTGGTGGCGGTGGAACTCTGTCACCCACCCCTCGGGCTATGGGGACCTGGGAGAGCAGCTCAGTGGGCAGGGGGCATGAGCACCCGCAAAGGCATGCATGCCTAAATCTGCCTTGCCCGTTGCCCCAGTGCGACCAGGGAGTGGGGGCCCCGTGCTGTGCAGGCCCCGATCTCTCCATCTGCAATGTTTTCAGCCATTCTGCTGCTCATCTGCCAAGGCCCGGCTACTCCTGGGGAGCTGGGCAGTTCCCCTGCCCTTGTGCCTCGCTTCTGGGCTTATCTGAGCCAGGCCACCCCCACCCCGGGGGCTGCGAGTGGGTGTCGAGGCACGGGGCATCCTCCCGGGTTACGCGTGTCTCCGGGGGCAGGGAGGAGTGGACCTGAGTGGGCCTCGCACCTTGGACAGGGTCCGAGATCAGGTTTAAGGGTCCGTGAATGTTCTTGAAGTCCACGCAGAGCTTGTCCACATCTTGGCCGTGCAGCGGCAGAATGACCGAAGGAACCTGCAAGGGGGCTGGGACGGCCGGGCATGGCTCGTGCGGCAAACAGAGCAGGCTGGGGGCAGAGGCGGGGCTGGGGGGGGGCAGCAGCTTACCTGGGGGCGAATCGGTCACGGCTTTCTCTAAAGGAAGACAAAGGCTGGGTGTCGGCAGTCTCTCACCAGGGATGCAGATGGGGTAGGGACAGGTGTGACAAGGGCTCCCTTAGCACTTCAACCTGGGGACACACTGGAGCGCCCCCACCCACAGTCTTGGCATTAGGACAAGAAGCCACTCTGGGGGCTCTGGCCTAGGGGTACCTTTGCTTCCCGAGTCCACGTCATCCAACGTGGTTTGACTGGGAGCTGAAGACATGGGTGGCACCGTCACAGGTATCCGTGTAGCAGCCCCTGGAAATGGGGGGGGTCACACCCTGCAGCCGGCCCCGCCCCCTCCACCCGGACCTCCGACCAGAGCCTCTCTTCTCACACACAGCCAGGGTCTCCAACAGAAGAGCGTGGCGCCAGGGAAAACGCTAGGGAGACGGGGCGGGGGCAGCCCGGCGCCGCAGCCCAGTCTGAGTCCAGATGAGGGGATCAGAAATAGCCTGAGAGACCTCTGCTGGCTTCGGGGATGGAGGAAGCCTTCCCTTTCTAGGAGGTTCCATCGCCAGTCTCCAGAGTGCAACGCGGCCTATTCAGTCACAGTCCTGCCTGGGGCGGGGCTGCCGGATGGCTGTGGGTGTCTTGGGAGGAAGGGAGTGGTGTCGAGCTCCCTGATGCCAGCTCCGGCCAGTCCCTTCCCCTCCAGGGTCCTGGGTCCCCTCTGCACAAGCAGCGCGGGGGAGGTCGCTGTGTCAGGGGTTACGACCTGACCCCCCCACCCCCACCCCCGGTACCACTGAAACAGCTGAGACAAAACGCTGAGGACAAGGCGAGGGGCTGGCTGAGAGCTGGGCAGGCCAGCGCAGCCCTGTTAGGAAATGCTGACCCTTCACCGACCACCCTGCCGCTGGCGCCCGCACGGCCAGGTCAGAGCACCCGCGTGAGCCCTGGTGGCTCCGATTCCAATGCAGCTCCCTGCTAAGGCATTGAGAACGCAGCCGGAGATGGCCCAAGGGCTTGGGCCCCTGCCACGCTTGTGGGAGACCCGGATAAAGTTCCTGGCTTCAGCCTGGCCCAGTCCACTAAAGCCACCCGGGGAGTGCGCAGTGGATGGAAGATCTCTGCCTCTATCACTCTGCCTTTCAAATAAATAAGCACTGGTTTGGAAGAGCTGTTCCTGCAGTGAGCTGACCCCGTGCCCGAGCTCGGAGCCCCTGCGGGGAAGCCGAGGCCCTCGGCCGTGAGGAGGTGGCTTACAGAGCTTCAAGTTCCGCAGCAGCTCTCGGGTCGGAAGGTTCAAGAGATGAGGAGGAAGAGAGGCGAGAGGAGCGTGGAGATGCCCGGGGTATTTAAATCTCGTGGGAGAAGTGTCCACGCTGAATCGGGGACTCAGCAGGGGCCTGGAAGCTATGTCTTTGGAAAAGTCGGCACGTGCATTGGAAACCTACACCAGGAGTGGGATGTGGAGGGGCAGGGCCTTCTCCTCCCGCCCTCCCCTCCAAGCCAGGAATCAATCAGTGCTGGCCCAGCAGTGGCCCAGCCCCCGTCAGCCCCCCTGAGCTATGCCCCCAGGATATCACTCCGCACCTCCCCCCCGGCCCCACAGTGCCCCTCAGCTACCTTGTCCACTCAGCTTTCTTCTTCGGGGAAAAGAGGGTTCTTCATAGCTGCCTGCTAATGACACACACTTGAACCTGAGCACCAGCCCCTCACCAGTCGGGTGAGCCAGGCGAGGTGCTTCCCCCCCCCCCCCCAGCCAGGGGCAGACCCTTCCCCCTTGGCCCTCCTTTGCACCTTTTTGTACTCTTTGTATGGGGTATTTTTGTCCTTTACGGAGAAATCCGGAGAAAGTAGGCCCTGGAAATCAGTGAGATCTGGGTTTGCTTCCTGGACCCACTTTTATGGGGCCGCAGGACGAGGGCCCGAGGGACAGCCGACATGGAGACAAACAGGTGACAAGTGCACCAGCATGCGCAGACACCATGCTCCTGCCCTGGCCAGCGACCTTGCAGGGTTGCTGCACTGGGCTCTGTGTCAGCGCGCCGCCCAGCCAGCGTGTGAGGGCTCGGGGCTCTTACCTCCCTTGTAGGCCTGCTTGTGCTTATCTGCAGGGAACAGGGGCAGAGTTAGATGGATGAGTGACTGAACGGCTGTCAGGGTGCCCTAACCACACAGGTGCCATGAACTGGGGGAGCCAAGAGCTGGGGGCTCCTCAGGGAGAGGTGTCCTGGGGAGTTTGTGGCCGGCAGGGCTGGGGTCCTGGGTTAGGCAGCAGGGGAGAATGCTGGGTCAAAACCCCGCGCCCACACTCACCATCCTGGGAGGGCTTCTCAGCAACTTGAGCCTGCCCTTGGCCTTCGGGCTTGGTGACCACCATGGACGTGAGAGGAGTGACAAAGCTGTAGTCGAGTGACAGGTTCCGGGCTCGGGACTCGAGGGCTCGCTGTTGGGCCTTGGGCGCATAAACCCTGAAGGGGGAGGGCGGCGGCGCTCAGGAGGCCCCTGGGTGCCTGGCCAGATCGTCCCTCCCAGCCGGCCTTCTCTGGGGCCAGGAACCCCGGGGGGACCCCGAGGCTCCTGCCAGGCCAGCGGAAGGCTTGGGAGAGGCCGACAGCCCTGGACCGGCCGCTCACATCTGTTCCAGGAGCTGCTGGATGGTCAAGTACGCCCAGAGTCTCTCCATGAAGCTGCCGAAGACGTACTGGCGGCTCCGGAACGCCTCCTCCTGCTTTGCCACGCTGGACTCCATGTAGAAGGTGACGTTCCCCGTGTGCTGCAGACAGGGCCCGGCGAGGGCAGGCACGCTGAGCGCCCGCCGCCTGCGCCCTTCCCAGCCCTGCCCCAGATCCCTCACATTGACGGCAAGGGTCGCACTTCCTCTGAGAAGAGTGGAGGGCAGGGGGAGTGCAGGGGCCCAGGGGCCAGCCATGGAGCCTCCAGGCCTAGGAGGACTTCAGAGGCAGCAAACTACCCGACATGGGCAGAGCCAGGAGCTTGGATCTACAGCCGGCTGGGAGAAACACGAATGAGGCCCCAGCTGCCCTGAGCCCCGTGTGCACCAGAAAGGGCTTCTTTGGGGAAGATGGGGGAGGGGCAGAGCTCAGTGGCAGGGGTGAGAGCAGAACTCAAGTGTCATGGCTCTGGACTTGGGGCCCCATGCGCCCCAGTGAGCAGCTCCCCCTGCTCAGGGCCGGGCCCTCTGCTGGGGCCAGCCCCTGGGGGACGATGCCAGGGCAGAACGTGCCCACGCCCTGCAGGGACAGGGCACTTTCCTCCCCAGGAAGGGGCCTGCGGTCTCAGACTGACCCTGCTCGTGCCCTGGGAAACGGGGTCTGAGGGCAGAGGCGGCCCGGGCGTCGCTCCCCACAGCGGCCACAAGGCCCCCTGTATAGCGTCGTGGGTGGGACCTGCACTCTGCTTCTGCTCCCTCCCCAAAACCAGCCAGGGCCTGGCTCCCCGGAGCGCCTGCACCTGCAGGCCACCTGCCCTGACGGTGCCCTCTCCACACCCGCAACTACCTATGGATGCCTTCCCTTGGACGGTGCTGCAGTCTGTTAACTGTACCCGGCCTAATCCCAGGCAGTAACAGGTGAGCTCTGGGGTCGAGGTTTGAGGTGTGCTTTTCAGAACACACAGCTACCCACACAAAGATGCGTCTGTCTGTGAAGTCCCCGCCGCCCCAAGCTCTGCACGTGGGGAGCCCCTGGCTGCCGGGCAGGCGCCAAGGGCAGGAAGCACTCAGGCTAGGCTGGTACTGACCCCGAAGGCTGTACAAGACAAGCACACGACTCACACCCACGCTCACACAGGGCGGTAAGGACCTCCCCATGTCTCCTTTCAGAGAGGCAGAGCTGGGTCTGGGGCCGTGTGGCCTGGCAGTCGGGACTTGGCTACCTCTCCTGAGCTGAAGCCCCGGGTGCCCCCTGCCCGGCTCCCCACCCCTGCAGCCTGCCCACCTGCCACACAACCTGGGAACATTCTCCCCTCTCCCTGCCACCTGGGCTCTGCCCACCTCCTTTTATCCCTCAGTCTCAGCTAAGCCACCTCCAGGAAGCCCTCCCAGATCCCCAGGCCAGGGAGCTGCTCTCCTGTGTCCCTGGCTGTCACAGGGGCAGCCCAGCCTGTGCTCCTTAGTGTGATGGCAGATCCCGGCCTGTCCCCTCCACACACACACCGTGAGGGCAGGGAGAGGCTGGCCTCCCTCGCCCCCGTGTGCTCAGGGCCTACAGAAGGCCCTGGCGCCAGTGGGTGCTCTGTGGAATGATGGGTGCCCCCTGGGAGGAGGCCACCCAGGTGGAGCCTTCCATGGCACAGGGGTCAGGGCACTGTGTGCTGAGCTGGGCTCCCGGCCTGGCCTGTGCCTCCGGGGAGCTCTCAGCCTGGCCATCCGTCAAAGGGGTGCAGCTGTCCCGGCAGGGACCCCGCCTCCACCCTGGCCTTTGTTTACCGAGCACGGTGGCAGTGCTCCACGTGTCGGGCACCGCACGGTGCTCCCGAGAGTCCGGCCCTGGTCTCCTGGAATCTCCACCATGAACCCGCGTGGTGCAGAGACGCGCGGGAGTCCCCTGCCCCGTCCCGGCCGCACAGGTGCAGGCTGCCCCACGTGCCCTGCCCCGGGGCTGCTCGGCCATGCTCACCACCCGCCCGCGGACTTTGGCCGCCAGCACGTCAGGGCTATCGGCCCGCAGCTTCCCGGCCACGACCATCTCGGAGCCCAGGAAGTGCATCCGGAAGCTGTCCCTAGTGACCTCCTCCACGGCGTTGCTTGAGTACTCGAAGGTCACGGACGTCAGTTGCGGGTGGGCCACCTCCTGGTAGAAGTCCTGTGGGGTCACGAGGGCAGGGGTTACCTGGCCGTGCTGGCGCAGCCCCAGCCCGCGGCCCGCCCGCGGCGCGGAGGCACCTGCAGCTGCAGGGCCGCGTCCGAGTCCTCGTAGACGCGCCGGGCCAGGCCGCCGTTGTCCAGCGCCAGCTTCTCCAGGAAGGGGTAGTTGACGTTGAAGCCAAAGCCCAGGCAGAAGAGGCTGTAGCGGCCGCCGATGGCTTCCCGCACGTTCCTCTGGATCTCCGTGGGGTTGGTCTTCCCTGGAGCCGTGGGTGTACGGAAGAGGAGAATAAAACAGAGTCGCTCACTGGCTACTGGTCAACGGTCCCCGTCCCCGCCCCGGGGCCCACGGCTACCGCTGCAGGGCGCCCTCACCCTGCGTGGGCTCCCCGTCGGTGAGCAGGATCAGGAGGGAGACGCTCCCCGCGCGCAGCTCCTCCTGCTCGTGGTCCAGCAGGCTCACGGCCAGCAGCAAGGCCTCGTTGATGTCGGTCCCTGCGGGGCGCACGCTCTCAGCTGGTGTCGCAGCAGCCCCTCCCTGCAGGGCGGCGGAGGCACCCACCTCCCGCGGCCTGGATTGCGCCGGCGTAGCTCCTGGCCTCGCTCACGGTCTCCAGCGAGGCTTGCACCAGCGATGTCTTCCACGGGGTCGCTGACGAGCTGAAGAGGATGAGGTTGAACCGGTCTCTGGGGTTGAGGTCATCCAGGATCTTGAGGAGGGCTTCTCGGGTCTGGTCAGCGGGCGAGGAGACAGGGCGGTCACTCGGAGGGAGTCCCTCGGGCTGGCACCTCTGGCCTCGGAACGTGGTACTGGCCCCAGGGGCAGACGCCGGTCTAGGCTGCAGCCGCCCTTGGCCTCCGGAAGTCCACTCCTTCCACCACCCCCAGGAGGAGGGAGGCGGGAGGGCCTGCCTGCCTGCCTGCGGGGCCTGGCTCCCGGGACCTACCTGCTGGATTTTTCTGCCTAGCATGGAGCCGCTCTGGTCGACGATGAAGATCACGGTCTTGGGCATGGTGGGCAGGCCCTCAGGGGCAAAGTGGTGCACGAAATAGCCGTTCTCGATCTGTGGTCAGAGAGAACGCAGCCAGGCGGTCAGCAGCCTGCCGGCCCCCACCCAGCCCCTCGCCCAAATCCTTGGGTTCCCGGGCTCTCCTCGTTCCACTGCCTCTTCCTCCCCGCCGCCCCTAAGCTCCCTAAATGCTCATCATCTCTTCGGACTCAGTCGCTGAGGCATCTCGTACTAAAAGGCTCAGACTTAACAAGCCTGACATCCACAGAAAGGGGGAGAAGACTTCACAAAGATGCGGCAAAGGTGAACATGACGAGGTCAGAAACGTGTGTGAGTAAGGCTACTGCCTTTGAGCGTCAAGCTGAGCCAGGAGCCTCCTGGCAGCCGAGGTGAAGAGGGAAACCCCTCCGATCAGCTCTTCGTGGAGATGAGCCCTTTCTGCCCCGGCAGGGAACGGTCTCAGGGACAACACAACTGAACTGCCTGAGGCTCCCCCGCGCCGAGCCCTGGGGCCCACGGCTAAGGCGGGCTGCTCACGTTCCTCTCGCCGCGGAGCGCCTGAACCCCGGGCTCCGGAGCAGGAACGGAATACCGCCCGGAGTCCACGCACCTGAATGGAGCCTGCGGACTGAGTGTGGTTCACGTCGTAGCGGATGATGAAGCTGCCATTCAGGGCCGTGTCCGGCTGCCCTGCAGCCTGCTGCTGCTGGGACAGCGTGGGTTTGAACCGGATGTGAGCCTGAAGGGACGACGGGAACCGAGGCTGGGGCAGCGGCGAGGCCGTGCCAACGGCATGCTCCGCCCCCTCTGTCCACCGGAGGGCGGGGCTCCAGGCCGCAGCCCTGGGTCGGTGCTCAGGGAACGCTCAAGCTGACCTGCTGCTGGATGCTTCCAGACAGAGGAGGGGGTGTGAGGGGAGCCCCCCACCGTGCAAGCAGAAGCGGGGCTCAACCTGTGTGAGATCCAGCTGTCTCCTCCTCTCTCCCTGTCGCCAGGGGCCCGCTGTCAGTCAAGCCCTTCCCCTGAGGATGGCAGGACCCACGGGAGGGCCCCGTGCATCCGGGGGCCTCGCCCTCCCTGTCTGCCCAGTGCCAGCAAGGCTGGACACTGAGCTCCCCTGAGCCCCTCCAGCACACGCCCTGCCCGCCAGCCAGCTCTCTGCAGCTGCGGGTTCACGGGGCTGAGCCGAAGCCAGGACGCCCCCCGTCGCACACAGCAAACCACCGGCTTAGGCAGGCCCACCTTGGTCTCATTCTGCGAGGTGACGAGGGCGCGCTCCAGCTCCTGGGTCATGAAGGAGCTCTCTGTCTCCAGGAAGCTGATGCCCTGAGGCTCGAAGATGTGGACGTCCACCTGGGGCGGGACGCGGGTCAGCAGGCCGGCCAGATGCCCGCGCTGGGCCTCCCAGGGGGCGTCCAGCAGGCTCCCGGGGAAGAGGCGCGCAGCTACCTGCAAGTGCTGGACCAGCTGCTGGGGGTGCACTTGGAGCAGCAGCTCGTAGGCTCCCAGGCGCCGCTGGAGCAGCTCCTCGTACACCAGCTGGAAGGTGACCTTGGAGGCGGCGGCCACGCTGACCGACACCTGGAACTGCTCCATCGACCTCCCGGCGGTCCTGGGGCAGCGGATCGAGCCGTGGGCTGAAGGCAGGGGTGGCCTGTGACTCCGCTCCCCTGGAGTGGCCCCCCAGCCCCTGGCTCACTTGACGAGGCTGGCGCTCTGCCCCCTGGCTCTGGCCGCGCTGTACAGCTCCTGGGCTGCAGCCTTCTCTTTCACCTTCCCCGGGTAGGTCACGCCGTCGATGGTCCTGTGGGCGGGAGGCTGCGGCTAGCAAGGCCCCTCCTGCCCCTCCTGGGGGTTGGATCTGGAACCTGTGTGCCTCTTGAACAGTGACCCCTGCCTTTGCCTGAGCCCACTGCCACCTATTATGCACCTACTGCATACGAGACTCTGGGCGTCTGCCTGGCCTGAGGAATGCAGTGTTGGCAAACGTGCATTTTGTGAGTGTGAAAATGCAAGGGAGGCTGCAGAGGAGCGGGCTGGGTCCTGCCCTCTCTTCTCCCTCCCAGTCTGCCCCACATTGCAGCCCGTCCCGTCCACCCAGGGCTGCTTTCGGAGCTGCAGCTGTGCCCAGCCCTGTGGGACAGGGGCTGGGGAGGAGGGCCCCCTGGGTCCCTTGCCCCGCCCTACTCGGGGCGGGCACTCTGGCATCTCTAGGAGTAGCTTCAGACAGCTAGGGGCTGATGGCTGCCTGGGGTGTGGACGTGTTCTTGGTGTGTCCACTGGGGCTCAGAAAGACCTCCGCCCCGTGCCAGGCTGCTTCCCTGGAAGGAAGGTGACTGCTCCAGAACCTCCCTGAGGGGCGGGGGTGGAGGGGCTTGTCAGGTACACCTGTGGCTGTGCCATCGGGGCAGGCGGGCAGCAGCCAGGGCGTCAGGGTATGGGGCCCACCTGCCCGACCTTCCTGGTTCTAACTGAGCCGGGATGGGGAAGGGCAGCGTGGTTCCTCCTCCCCGTGGACAGGACTCAGCCTCTGCCGACGCCCCGCTGGGCCTGCCTAGCCCAGAACCCTGCCCCGTGCTTCTCTGTCTCACACAGCAAAACATCTGGGGCCAGGGAGAGGTGGGGCTGGTCCCAGGTCCTCTTGGCGTCTGTGATGGACCCTGGCCGCCTGCCGGCCTTGGCACTCGTGTTGGATGCTGGCACAGCCACGAGGCCCATGCTGCCGGCTAGGGGCACAGGCCCAGGCTCCGGGGTTAGGAAAGTGGGGACTGCTGGAGTGAGGGTGGGTGGGGAGGGGGCAGCCAGCCACAGGGCCCTGGCACCACTGTCGTTTCCCAGCGGCTCCAGGGTACCTTGGGGACCCCAGCCACTGCCCTCCCCATTCTGGGAGCAGCTTCTCCTGGATACCGGTGATGGGGCGGGGGGGCGGGGCATCCTATCGTGCAAACACTGCCAGACTGAGCCAGGACAGGTGGCTGAGGACAGCAGTGAGGTTTGTCCTAGGCTCACAGTATCCACAGCAATCGTGGGGGCTCCCAGGGTGGCCGGAGCAGGCATGCTGGCTGCAGTACCCCAGCTTGGGGCGTGACCAGGCAGACACGCCCCTCGCCCCAAGGTAACTGATGGGGGAGAGCCCAGGAATGAGGACATTGCGGTATTGAGAGCTGGAGCCTGCTTTGGGGTGACTCCCTCCCGCCGGGCTCTGATCTCAGGATGCCCCCAAGTTTGTGCTCCACATGGGGGCCATGGTTCTCCACACCTCGGGGTGATGGTGGGACAATGCAATGGTCAGAGAGAACGGGCGAGGGCCACGGGCCAGCCCCTGCTCGCCGTGGGGCCTACACGCAGAGGTGTGTCCTGGCAGCCGAGCCCTTTGGCAGAGGGCCAGGCGGGTGGGCACAGGCCAGGGGAGACGCCTACATGGAGAAGTTGGTGATGAAGGCTTTCCTGGGCAGCTCCAGCTGGAAGGTGGCCTCCTGCAACGTCTCGGCCCTGTTGACCACGCGGCTGGTGACCACGGTGCGGGCAAATCGCGACGAGACCTCCGAGTGCATGGTGAGGCTGTAGATGTCGATGCCATTCTGGCCAGGGCAACAGAAGGGGGGCGGAGCGAGTCAGCACCGCCCAGCTTGGACGTGACTGCCCAGCCCTGGCCAGCAGAGTAGCTGACCAGGCCTGAGGCTGCAGTCAGTGGAGATTTCACACGTGGGCATTAGTGCGCAGTCAGAGGCAGCTGCCATGGGCCGGGCTGCTGTGCCAGGCTCTGTACTCGGCACCTGGCAGGTCTCAGGGGTTCCACGTTCATAGCAAGGTCCCGAGTGGGGCCCTCTATTTCCTGCTTCACAGATGAAGAGACTGACACAGCACAAACAATGGCTCTGAGGTCATACTCTTGGGAGCCACCAGGCCGGGTGCAGAGAGAGGTGTCTTAGCCACCCTGCCCTCTGCCGGCCTCAAGGGGCAATTGCTAAGCCACGATTCTGCAGCTGTAAAATGGAAGAATCCGTGGAAGGCCTAGCGGCAGTGCCTGGTGGGTGGCAGCGCCGTTTCTCTGCATAGTCTCTCCCGCCTGCACCTGAGCTTAACACGCCGGTGCATGGCCCACCCCCCACCCAGCTCACCGGCTCACCCGCAGGCAAGCACACCGACCCCTGGGGAGTAGCTGCTACCTTTTGGGCGACAGCGGGCGCAAGGCCAGCATGCAGCGAGAGCAGGCCCAGCACGAAGACACGGGTGCACGCAAGCGCTGGGGTTTCCATTGCGACTCCAGTGCCTGCTGGGCTGCTCCTGAACTCAAGAGCAAGCGGGGAGTGAATCAGTAACTTGCTCACGGCCCGCCCCTACAGACGCCAGTTACAGGAAAGTGAGAGCTACAAGCCAAAAACCCAGTGGCCTCAGATCAGCAGGTAGATGACGATGTCCCCTTGACCCTGACCTTGGCTGGGGGCAGAAATGGATTCTGAAAAAAGGCAGCCCCAGGCTGGAGGTGGATGCTGAGCCTTCCAGAACCTTCCCGGGCACAACCCCTCACTCGGGGCACTCCACCACTAAGCCCAGGAGGACCAGGGGGGCAGGGCGGGGACGAAGCCACACCTGCTCCCCTGAAGTCCTGCATGGGAGGGAAACGGGGGATGGCCAGGGTGAGGGGCCAGTGCAGGCAGCTTCCTGGAAGACAGTGGCCTCAGCAGCTGGGTGGGCCTGATGAGGCTCGTGGAGGTATCCGGTGCGGCAAGATGTACCAGGCCTAGGGCAGGGTGGGTCTGCCCCAGTCCCGGAGTGAAAGGGGCTGAGCCCAGGAGCCCCCCTCTTTCTCCTGGGCTCCAGGCTGCTCCTCGGGTCCATTGATTTAGCCAGGGCTCCGGGTTCACGCCCAGCAAGAACCCACTTTACAATATGAACCCAGGGTCCCAAGATGCCACACCCGGGGGCCCTGGGGTCTGACACTGGGGACCCCCAGGCAGGGCGGCTCACTGAAAGCAGAGTTCTCGAGGGGCTGCTGGCGGGGGTGTTCACTCCTGCCAAGGGGCTCGTCGCTCACAGCGCAAGGGGGAGGGCCCAACGCTGCTGTCACCAGCAGTGCGACGCTGCCGCAGCCCAGACCCCCTGGAGTGCCTGCCACCCAAGGGCCTGGGCTGGGTTCCCGGGGGCACCTCACGGTTTGCCCTCAGGAGGGCTGAGGTGCCACTTTCACAACCAACAGCACCAAGACAAACAAACGCCAGGTGCTCCGGAAGCAGCTGGGCCCTGGGGCCCCAGGAGGCCAGCTCCCGAGCCCACGGTCACAGATGAGTCATCAAAGTGGCCAGGTGCCCAGTCCTAGGTCAGGAAGGAGGACAGCACAGTGACAACAGCCCCAAGAGGGCCGGCGCGCCGAGGATCCACGCAAGGCCCCGGGGAGGGCAGGGGACGGCTCCCCCCAACCCCCAGCCCAGGAGCCCGCCTCCCTCAAGGGCCGCAGAGCCTGGCACTGGGGACTGCACCGCAGACGCTCGCTCTAGAGCTACAAGCAGAATGTTCCCTCCCTCTGCACGAACACGGCCAGTATGGGCACTTCCGGGCGGCACGGGCACTTCCGTCCAGCGCCCCTCTTTCGCTCTGGGAGATTGACGGATTCTGCAGCCCTTCGGGACCCAGGGGAAGCGCCTCCCTCAGGGGCCTGGCCGGTCCTGTCCACACTGCAGGGCTGCTCTCCTGGGGCAGAGCCTGGGACCAGAGCTAGATAAGGGGGTCAGGCTGGCAGCTCTATCTGCCCAGGGCACAGCAGGGGCCTCCCAGCAGGTGACAGCCCTGAGGTGGGCACTGCCAGCCCAGCCAGTCCAGCCCGTCCATGACCTTGCTGTCACATGGGGACAGGTCTCTCTAGTCTCCCGGATGGGACAGCCTGGTGCACACAGGAGACCCAGGCCTGGGAAGAGAGGAGTCACACAGGGGCAGGACTGCCACGCTCTCGTGCCCCAGGTAGCACGGTGGCAGCAGGAAGGGTGCAGTGCACTCCACTGTGCGGGAGACAGGAACCGGGGAGAGAGGGGGGCCTGGGTCTGGCCAGCGGACACACAGGCAGCAAGGCCAGGCCGCACAGGGGCTCCTCGGCCCTGCAGAACCCTGGGCACCTGAGCTGCCACTCAAGGGCGTCCGTGGCAGGTTGGAGATGCGGGATGGCTCAGGCTCCACTTCAGCTCCGCTGTTGTAGAGGCTCCGAAACCGGGCAGGTGGGGCTGAAGCGCTCTTCCTAGGGCAAGGCAGTGGCCATGACAGCACCTGGGCTGCCCTCTGGGGCCCTCTCCAAAGCCCTGAAGGACACCGACCACGCTGCCACGGCCCCACCCTGGCCACAGCCGACGCCCGACCAACACTCTCCCAGGGCCGCGGCTGCTCTGAAGTGCTTTTTATTGGGGTTTGCAGGGTGCTGGGGGGCAGGGTGGCCCAGGGGCCGGCATACAGAAGAGCTCTTGGGAAAGACTCCCGTGTCGAGGGCGGCGGCCGGCGCGTCTCAGCCGAACACGCTCTTGGCAGGGCCAGCCTTGGGCTTCTCGAAGACGGTCTCAGTGCCAGTGCGGGTGCGGCTGAAGACGGACGGGGCGGCCGAGCCGGCCTGCTCTGTGGGGAGGAGGCATGGTCAGCGGCCCCCGACCCCCACCACGGACGCCCGGCCGGGCCCCCCCCTCCAGCCCTGGCACTCACCACACTCTCGCATGACCTGGTAGGTCTTCGACTTGATCTCTTGGTTCTTGGCCAGGTTCCCTCGGGCCCCTTTCAGGTCCTCCTCCTTCACGGGGGGCCGCTTCTTCTTGATGGGGGCTTCCTGAGCGCCAGCCTTGGAGGATCCAGCACATCTTCATAAAACCCATAGTCCCCAGGCAGGGATCCCTTTCTTGCCTCCAAATTGAGGCCCCCACGCCTCTTCTTCCAGGAAGCCCTCCAGACTCTACCCCCTGCCCTCAGCCTTCTGGTTCTCTTGTTCTGACTTGTGCACCCTGAGGCTGGGGGCTCCTGGGGGCAGGGGTTGATACAGGTGAGCCCTGCTCCTCTGCCTGGCCAAGTTCAGGGCTGACACGAGGGGCAAAGGGGAAAGAGACCGAACCTTCTAGGCCGAGCAGCCTCAGGCAGCCTGTTGAGTCCTAAGACTTGCTCAGTGGTGGCAGGGGGTCCCTTAGGGATTTCCCCCTTCCCCCAAAGCACCCGTGACCACTAAGTTCCCCAGAGTTACCTTACGTGTATGGGGAAGGGAAAGGATAGAGGGACCAGATATTTACTAATTTACAGTCCCAAACTTATGTCACCCACCTGGGGGGCAGGCGGCAGGGACAACCCTGTGCCCTGGCAAGCTGGCCCCTCTGTCACTCAAGTGCTGGGGACATCCAGGCTCAGTGCTCATCCTCCCCCTCAGCCCCACGCACCCGTGACTCAGGCCATTCTTTCCTAAACCCGGGGGCAGGTGCGAGGATTCCCCCCTCAGCCTGCACCCGGCTCCTTGACATGCCAGGGACACAGCACGGGGCTCCACGCACATGCTCACAGCCAGCTCGCTGGCTGCAGAGGCCAGTTAGAAATGTACACAACCCTACAGACCAGGCGGTACACACACAGGGGCACACACAGAGACCCACAGGAACACAACTCACGTTTCGTGCACACCCCTAACATGGAGCCCTGCCCAGGCCAGGCTGAGCAGGGTTCTGTCCAGGTAAAGCGGGGCCTGCAGCGCCCTCCCCAAGCCCTGGCCTCCCAGGGGCTGCAGAGGCTCCTGTTTCCATCACAGCTGCCAGAGGTGACCCTGGGACACTGGCCGGGTCTCCACGCCCCACCCCCACCCTTGGCACCTACATGGCCCGCCTACCTGGGACATGGTGGGTGCTGGGTGAGCGCGGCTCTGGGAAGGCACCTCTCTGACGGGCAGGAGCCGGGGACGTGATCTGCGCGGAGCCCGGCCCCCTGCAGCTTATATAGCCTGCGTGCCTGTCCCAGCAGTCACTGCCCTCCTCCGGCAGGCTCCCCGATGATTCAGGTCCACACGGCCACTGGCTTCAGCATTTATTCTTAGAGATGATGGGGGCTAGCTGGGCGCTGTGGCTCACTGGGGGCGGCGGCACTGCGGAGCGCGGACAGCTGGGGCGGGCCTGCCCCCGGGAACAGCTGGGAGCAGGCGCCGGGGGACTTGGTGTGTGTGTTTATGAACGTGGAGTCCTGGAATGTGCGACGGTCTGGGCTGTCCATCTCCGAGGGCCCGGCCCAGCGAGCGCCGGCCCCCAGGCAGGGAAGGCCCCGCGCCGAGCTTAGCGCTCCGCGCTTGTTGCCCTTTCTCTTCCAGCGCTGGACTCCAGCGGGGAGAGGCCTCATCCCGCACGGCAGCAGTGGTGCCCCGGCAGGCCCGCGGGCAGGGAGGCTGAGGCCGGGCCCCTGCAGCGCTGCCCCACCGTGCTCTGCTCAGCTGTCTGCCTCTGCCCCACTCCGCTGCACGTTTCGCAGAGGCACAAAGGCAGGGCTGAGGCCTGGGGAGGATCCCACTCTCGGAGGCAGGGCGCTGGCCAGAGAACAGAGCTCCGGCCGGAGATGGGCCCGCAGGATGGTCAGAGGCTGGGCGAGTGCCGGGCTTGGCGTGGAGCTGCCCATGGACGGGCCCAGGGCTCCCCTGAAGGGCCACTTAGCTCTCTTCTGCCAGAGGCTCCACTCTTGCAAGAGGGGGGTCCCTGGGGGGACATGGCAGGACCCAAGGCCTGGGCAGGGCGTGGCAGCAGAGGTGGGCTGCTCAGGGCCCTCCCCCGACTACAGCAGACGCTCCAAACTCCTTTTCCGTATGTGACAGACAGCATTTTTATCCTTGAAGGCAGACAGAAGGCCACCAGGCACCGACACGTGGTCATCCCGATGGCCACTTGCCGCTGTCTGACTCACACCCCACCCCAAACCCCACTCCGGTCCTGGTCCTTGGCAGGCCAATGCAATGACAGCCAGGCTCGGGCTGAGACAAATGCTGACCGCAGGAGCATCCGGGACTCAGGACAGGGGCCAAGAGGCAGCTGAGGCCAGGCCAGGCCTCCCAAGGGCCCTTCTGCCAGCTCCAGGGTGCTATTCCGGATGGTAACCGGTGCTGCTGGCTCGGCCTGGGGAGGCTCCTGCCTCCCAGCCCCACAGCCTCAAGGACAAGGCCGTGCAAGTTCACTCCTTACACACCATTTCCCGTGCAAGTTCACTCCTCACATACCATTTCCCCGACACATCTCGCTCCTCAGGAGCCCACCGGCTTGGACCCTCAACAGCAAAGAAGTGGAAAGGCAACAGTGTGCTTGGTGTTAGCCCTTGGTAGATTTTTAAAAATCATCTGAAAGGTAGAGTGATAGAGATGGAGGAAAGAATGGAAAGAGGGAGGGAAGGGAGGAGCGAGAGCGAGAGCCTTCTGCTTCATTCCCCAAACGCCGGCAACGGTCACCTAGAGGTCAGGCCAAAGCCAGGAGCAGGAGCCAGGAGCCCCATCCAGGTCTCTCGTGTGGGGGGCAGGACCTGAAGCACCAGGCCACCGTCTGCTGCTTTCCCAGGTGAATAAGCGGGCAGCAAGGGCCTGGACGGGCACTCACGTGTGATGCCGGTGTCACAGGTGACTGACGCGCTGCGTCACCAAACGCCAGGCGCCCTTGGTAGATCCTGGCTCCCGCTGCTGCCGTGAGGCTGGGCAAGGTTCATTCTCTCTTTTCCTGGGGAGAACCTCACAGCTCATAGGGAACATTTTTTTTTTTTTTAAATCTCACTTAGCTGTTTCGAATCCAGAGAACATACAACTGACAGCCACAAACGTGATAGTTTTTTTAAAAACTGTAATAAGACGTCAAACTTTATTGTAAACCATTTTACAATGTAAGTACATCAGCTTCCCTTTTGTCTCAAGGACGTGCTCTGCGAATCTCACACCCACCCCTGCCGGGAGGACGGCCCGCAGGGCCACGGCTCCACTCACACAGGTCTGACTTCTAACACACTTCGTGAGAAGAAAAATCAGATTTCCAACCAACCGACCAACCCAGGAGCTCCCGGTGCTCACGGCAGGCCAGGGAAGTCCCTCGCTGACAGCCAAGCCCTTCATGGGGAAAACAGCTCAGTGCGCTTGGCTGCAAGTGTGGGAAACTTCTAGAAGCCAGCCCTGTGCTTCAGAGGTGACGGGCAGGAAGCTCCCAGAGCGGCGTGGCCTGGCCCAGTTGCAAAAAGGCCAGTGGACTGCAGCGTGCGGGGCTGCTGCCCATGGGCCCTCACGGCCGAAGGGGAGCTACCGCTCACACCCGAGCCTTCCCATACTTCCCTGAACAAAGAGGCGTGGCAGTGACATAACCCGTGACTGCGCTGCCAGGGAGGGCGCAGGTTCAAGCAGGTCCCAGGGCTACCCGAGTGGCCACAGCCCTCACCTTGTACACCTTCAGGAAGCTGTGCGCCACTGCCCAAGTGCCACTGCCAGCAGACAACCGTCTCTTCCACTCACATGTGACAGCTCGGCCTCAACAGCGTATTTCCACGGTGACAACAAAGTCGTTCGTGACTCTAACTTGCAAGTTCCCATCGTGGGGGGTTCGCCTAGCGTCCAGATTTCAACAAATCAGACCGACAAAGCACAATGTCCAGGTGGCGTCCCAGCGTCTCTGAAGCACGGTGCTGCCGGCCACCCTGTAAGGCACCTTGGGCAGGCGGGGAGGAACTCATCCGGGGTTAGAGAGGAAGCGCTGACCACAGACTGCACCTGCTCTTGGGGTCGCACTCACAGACAGCTGTGGGCGGTACAACTGGGCTGGGGGCAGGGCACAGACTGTGTGTGTGTGCGTGTGTGCACATGTGCGTGCGCACACCCGCAGAGGAGCAGGGTAAGGCCTCGCCACCCAGACGCTCTGTCAGACCCCCACATGCTGCTTAGCCACACACAGCCACGGCGCAGGCCAAAGCCCTCAGTGAAAATCAGAAGGGGAAACCCACCACTCACTCGCTACCTCTCCCTGCCACCACTGCCTGGAGAGCCCACCTGAGACTGACGGAGCGCAGCTTCCGCCACCTGCTCTCCGCCCTCGTCCCAGCTGGGAACACCAGGAGTGCGAGACGCCAGCGAAAAGCCAAGTCCTGACCATGAGCTCCAGGAAGGTGCAGGACACAGGTTGCTCCAATCAGCCTGAAACAGGAGGGGGAGCGAGGACTGCGCCAGTGATGCCGCGGCGGGCTGACCCTCTCACAGGGAGCAGCAGCCAGGTCTCCCTGGGTGCAACTTAGTAGACAGTCTGGCCCCACGCCCAGCCCCACTAGAGACCGCGTGGGAAAAGACCCAGGCCTCCCCTCCTCTCTGGCCACGAGGCCTGCACGAGCAGTCACCTCCTCCCACACGGCGACCCTTCCTGCTCCTCTCAGGGGCGCCTGCGGCTCCACCTTGCCCCTGCCACAGCAGGGAGAGCCACGGGCTCAGCCCTTTCTGCTGCCACTCACTCAGCAGGTGGCGGATGTGGCCAATGGTCGTGCTGAGGAGGGGACACAGCGGAGGGGCACCTCATGCTGCCTGTGGGCCAGCCATTCTCCCCTCAACCCAGCCCGGCTGCAGCCACCTCCCGGCTCAGGACTGTGTCAAACAGGGCCCCCACCCCGGGCAGACAGACATCTGAGAGCAGGCGGCACGACAGAGGCTCCTGGAGCCAGGCCAGAGCTGGCTCTGCAGACCGCACAGGGCGGGCTGGGAGCAGGCAGCAGGGGCCCAGGCGTCATGCGTCCTCTGGACACGAAGAGCCGCTGGGCTCCTTTCTTGGTCAAGTTCAACCAGGACCTCTACCCCTGCCAGCAGAAGCGCCAAGGAACTCGGGGGCCCTGCCAGAACCCATCCTGTCCACAGCCATGGGGCCTGCGCCACCCCCACCCCCAGCTTGTCCTCACACCGCTCACACCCCATGGAAAGCAAACAAGCCCATTTTGGGGGGGATTAAAAAGAGTATTTAAATACAACAGTATGAAAATATAACTTAAAAATATAAAAGTCAAACAGCACACGGAAGACTTAGAAATCTGTGTTTTGCCTGTTAGTCCCATAGGTACTTTGTACGAAATAGACGCGTCCTCGGAAAAACAGTGCCACTGTCACAGCTCATCAAACCGGCTTCAGAGTCGAGTGCCAAAGCCGCCCGGCGCAGGGAGACTTCCCGGCTCCGGCTTGGTCTGGTGGGCTCTGCGCCCTGAGTGCGCTGTGCTCACAGTGCCGTGGCCGGGTGCCAGGGCTCTCTGCCGCCGGCCACTGGTCGCGCAGGGCAGCGGCTCCGGGTCCCTCGCCATGCTGCTCGGGACTACAACACACAAACAGAACTCCCCGCTTGCATATTTGGTCAGTGTTTGTAGTGCAACTGAGTGGGGGACCTCCAGCTGCCCAGGGCCCTCGAGGCGCTGGTCCCTCTTCCCTTGTGGTAAGTCACAGTAGCCTGGGGCAGGCGGAGAGCAGGCAGAGACAGCAAGAGGGGCAGAGGTAGAAGGAGGGTGGAGAGCAGGGGGAGGGGAGACGCCGCGGAGCCCCGACCTGTCGCCCCAGCCCGGGCATGTGTCATACGGGCAGCCCGAAGCGGTGCTTCTTCTTCTTCCCGGGCTTGAGGGGTGTCAGTCTGCAAAGGTCCTCCTCCACGTCCGACTCCTCCATCTCGTCGTCAGCCGAGATCAGGACCTGGGGCAGAGGACAGGCAGGGCCTCAGGCAGCACCCGCCCTCCCAGACCCTGCCTCCCGGGGAGGGGGGCCTCAGGTCCGGCATTTATTTGGCAGAGGGTGATGGGAGGCCTCCTTCCCACAAGCAGGCCCCAGCACAGACCACACAAGCCGCAAGGACCTGCGGGGGCCCCTCCAGCCAGCTCTCCCCCCACCCTTCGCTGTCCGACCTCCAGCTCTCCCCCCACCCTAGGCAGAGCACACACAGTGGGCACCTGCAGTCAGACTGCATCCTGGCCAACAAACAAACAAAGCCCCTCAGACCGATGCAGGGAGTCCCTGGTCCTCGAAGTCACGTAAACACAGCAGAGGCACCCGTCCGTGGGGCGCGCGCAGGCAGGGGACTCGGAGCGTCTGCTCTGAGCCAACGTGGTGACTTCCGAGGACAAGGAGGAGCCTGAGCTCTCCCACGTGCCCGGGAAGGCCCTGCCACACAGCAGGGGCGTCCAGGGCAGACACGCTCATTCCCTGCCCACCTGCCTGGCTCCTCTACCCTCTGAGCAGCAGGGGGCGGCTGCAACTGCCTTTCAGGACTGAGGGGCCCCAGCCCCTGTGCAGAGGAACAGGAATTTCTCCTCCAGGGAGGGGTAAACAGCCCCATCTCGTCCCTGCACCGCAGCCTTCCATGGCTGCCTTGGGTTGCGGTCCTGGACAACACAGGCCCGCTGGCTGGCTGTGGCCGTGCAAGCACATCCCAGTCCCAGTCCCTCCGCCGCGATCACAGAGCACCTGGCCCGCCGGGCTCAGCCTTCGCCTGGACCTCACTCCTGGTTCCTCCATCCCCCACTTTGCAACACATGCTGCTCTGGATGCAATCAGTGTCACATTATGACCTATCACTCACTGCCTGTGCAACGTGACAGACCCACGCCAGCGTCTCGGGACACACAGAGGCACCCTCTGTGCTTCTCATCTATTCGTCTTCCCAAGCTCCCCACTGTGACCATCCCGGCGTCCCCGCAGGGCTGTGCACCTGCGCTGCACTCAGGAAGCGTGACGAGCGTCACGGCGGTGCCACCTGAGCTTCCACCTGTCCTCGTCCACGAGGCTGCAGGCCTCCTAGGGGAAGACATCAGCACCAAGCTGTTCCCACCCACAGCCTGGGGCTCAGCACTGCATGGGAACGCCCCAAGGCCACAGCACAGAGGCGTGGGCTGAGAGCTGCGGGGCTGCGAGGACCTGTGTCCTTGCCCCCAGGCTGCTGGGCGTGACCAGCGTGGGTCCCCCAGGAGACTGGAAAACGAGGGGAGAGGAGGGTGCTCCCGTACGATCTGGCCACGCCCCACGTTTGGAGGTTTCGGCTGGCTCAGCCGATGCTTCCCTTGCCCATCGGGAGTGGGCAGGGATTCAAACACCCTCACGCTTGAAGCACAACCATGAGGCTCCCGAGGGTCCCTGTGCCAGCTTCCCTGGGGCGTGGCGGCCCCTCCTTTCCTGTGGCTCTCAGACAACTGCAGAGATGGAGGCGGGCCACACCCACCCCCTGCGCCCCCTGCTGTCCTGCGAAGGCCCAGGGGACGGGCGAGGGTCCCGGCTGGACAGAGCCGTCTTGACCTGGGCCCAGCCTCCCCTCGCCGTGACGTGACGTAGCGGTCGGGAGGAGAACCAGCAGCTAGGGAGGCCCTACCTCGGCCTCGGGCTCCTCGTGGGACGCGGCCCTTCGGTAGCGGACCTTGCTCCCGTTCCTCGAGTCCTGGCTGCATCCCCTTTCTTCCAGCTTAGCTTTCGTCTTCCCCTTCCTCATGAGGAAGTTGTCCACCACCCAGAACATCAGCGCCTGTGGGGAGGACACTGGTTACCCCGCGACACAGCGTTCTCAAAGCTCAGCGCAGCAGCCCCAGTCCACCCAGCTCACAGAGCTCACAACCAGGGCGAGACACCTCACCCACCCCGACCATCTCCCAGGGGCTTAGAGATTCTGTCTCTCTTTCCTTTGCTTTTTTTTTTTTATATATTTATTTTCATTTTATTTAAAAGAGAGAGAGAGACAGAGTCACACAAAGATCTTCCATCCACTGTTCCACTCCCCAGGTGCCTGTAGCCAGAAGCGCAGAACTCACACAGGGTCTCCCACATGAGAGGCAGGGATGTGAGTCCAGGAACCCAAGGACTTGAGCCATCCCTGCTGCCTCCCAGGGTGCACTGCAGTAGGAAGCTGGCATCAGGAGGAGCTGGAACTCAGACCCAAGGCTCTGCTCTGGGATGTGGGTGTCCCAGCTGCTGCACCAAAAGCCCACCTCGCTGCTTCAGTTTTCTTATGAGCAACAGGAAAGAAAACCCAGGCCTGTTCACCCCCGGGTGTGGTGGAAGCTGGTGCGGCAGCGACACCTGCTCCGGCCCCGCTCCGGCTCCTCGGGCCAGGCTGCACCATCATCTCAGCCCCGGCTGCCTCACCATTTCTGTCACTATTTCCCAGCTTCTAGACACTGTCCTCATGCTTTTCTCTTTGAGATTTGTGGTCAGAAACACCCAACAGTGGCTCATCTGAAATGATGATCTACAAGTTGGTGTTATGCACAGGAGGGCCAGGGCGTCCCCGGCAGGGAAGGCAAGACCAAGTTCCCAGGGGCCTTCATCTTCCACAGGGTCCTGGGGGGAGGGGGCTGCCTTTCCAAGACGCAATCCCACCTTTTCCAGGTCTGGGAGTGGGGGCAGGGAGGTGACAAATGGACACACAGAAATGCCTGGGGTCTAATCCGTGAGTTTTCTGCTGGACTCAGAACTCTGATGGGGAGGGGGCAAACCGGGCAAAAACTTTAACGTGGCACTGACGTTGACAAAGAAGGGGACGATCAGCATGACGATGGCCAGTTTCAGGTCTGGGTTTTCAATGGGGTTCAGTAGGGCCACCTGCAAGGAGAATGCACTTGGTGAGGTGGGGAGGGGCCACACACAGGGTTGCCCAGCCCCCCAGGCCCCCAAGAGACCACGCTGGGCAGTCAGTGCGGCAGGGGCTCCCCCTCCTCCGCGGTGAGGACCTGCAGGGCGCAGTGGGCTTCCAGCTCCTGAGCCAGAGCAGACAGTGCCCCGGAGAGGGACAGCAGCTGGATCCCCAGGGAGGAGCGTGGGTTCTGGGCAGCGGGGCGCCAGGCCACTTTCTAGTGGAAACCCTGCACCCCAGCCACCTCCCAGACAACAGCTCCGGAACGCCACGGCTTATTCCTTGAAACAAAGAAAGGCCAGCCACAAAGGAAGCCAAAGGGAGACCAGGATCTGAGCCACTTGTTCCTGAGGGCTCTCTGGCTGGTCTGCTGTGGTATGCGCAGGAGAGAAGCCATGGGGGTTTGTCTGTGCAGCCCTGGGGCCAGGCCTGGGAACCTGTGGGCTCACCAGAACCCCAGCATGCCTGGTGGTTAACGATCGCGACACCTGTAAACTCAACATTTACACGCTCTGACCCTGAAGGACAATGTTGGCTGGTGAGTGATCTTGTGTGTGCGTGCAGGTGTGTACGTGCGTGCACATGTGTGTGTAGGGCTTGTATTTCCAGCAGCTTTACACGCCCCCAGGCATCAGCAAGGCAGAGTTGTGTAAATGAAGGGGTCGAGTTAAGGCACTCCTGAGTGGCGCCTATCAGACCAAATCCAGGGTACAACTCGAGGAGTGAACATCCAGACGAGGCTGGTGTCGAATTGGTGGGGGAGGGAGTGCTGTGGGCTCAGCTCGGCCGCGGGCTGACGCAGGGGCAGGAGGCAAACCTTTTTCCACTGCAGGATTAGGAGGACGATGAAGACGACGGACTTCTCAAAGATCATGATCACGATGTAGAGCGCGCACTGCCCGGCCCAAGCTCCGCACTGCAGAGGGTCTCCTGCAGGATGGGGGGGGGGGGGGGGGACTGAGTCACACGGCCACGGCCACGGTCCCCACGGCCCCTCCCGCGCCCCACAACACTGACTGAACGGTGCTGAGAGCGCCCCTGGGCCCTGGCAACCCCGCCCTCCTAACGCACAAAACAAGTGCTCTGAATAAAACCAGAGAATTCCTAATTTGGAGACACCAGAATGGCCATTTCTTTTCCCCACGAGATGCTAAGGACAGGAAAGCACTAAAGTTAGAAAGCGGTAGCTGCGGAGCTTGGGAAGCGGGCGTTTTCTGTCCGCTGGCAGTGGAGGCCGTGTGAAGCAAGACTGCTATTATTATCTGTGTTGACTTTTCCAGGCCTGGTGCTCTGCTTCCCTCCCCCCGCCCGCGCGGGCTGACGGGTGGATTTTGAAATGCGGTCTTCAGCCTCTCTGTGGCCTCCCGTGTTTGTGCCTCAGCGCTCAGAGCGGAACCCTGACCCTGGAGGAGTGCAGATCCTGACTTGCATGGGTCACAACGAAACACCCTCGGGGCGAGCAGGTGGGCCAAGGCCATGCTTGAGAAACCCCAGAGGCAGGCGGTCTGCGCCGGGGGACACTCAGGCCCTAGGGGCCTCCAGAGTGCTCCCAGAGGGTCCCCACAGAGGGGACCAGCTCCTCGGGGGGTGGGGGGGATGATCCTGTGACACACAGAACCCCCAGGCCGGGCCCTAGGCAGCCACACTCAAACTGCAAAACCCAGGGGAGAGTGGCAGAGGCCGCCCCTGGCTGGCCCCAGAGGCTGTCCGAGCTGCCTGACCACGGCTGGTTAGCAAAGGGGGCAGGGAGGTAACATTTCAGGGGAGGCAAAAGCCCCCAGTCTGGGCTATGGGAAGAACACGCGGTCCCGGAACAATCCGGCTTCTCCTGTGAGTGCCGGCCGCACGGCGGAGGCAGCAGCGAATGCCTTTATGCGGCCGTCATGGACACAGCACAGGGCCATTCCCTTTTCTGGAAAGCCGGGGGAACGAGCAGGGCCTCTCTGCGGCCTCCTCTCTGCGCCCCAGCCACTGGAGGCCCGACCCTGCCTCACTGCGCAGTCGGGGAGCTTCGCTCACTGTCCTGGCCTGACTTAGGAAACGCTCTCAACCACAACAGACGAGGTGGGTGTCCAAGCCACGAGGAAAGACTGGGCACGGTCAGACAGGAAGTGCTACCGGGAAAGGCTTCTGAACTGGGTAGGGCCGGCTGCCGCGCAGGCGGACACGTGGCACCGCTGTTTGCCATCAAAGGAACATCCACTGGCTCCCAGGGTGCTCCTCACTTTTAGGCGGCTGACAACAGAGGCCAAGAGCCCTCCCCTCGTCTGCCTCCCTCGGCCAAGGCTGCACACCTTGTGAGGGGAGCCGACCTGCTGTTGCTGGCTCAGGAAACACAAGGGCCTGAGCCAGGGAAGGCAGGCGGGCCACGAAGGCCGGGAAGGGTTCGAGAACAATCTCCAGGCAGCCTGCAGGAGGCGCCTGCCTGATCGTGCGTGGTCCAGGGGAGCCCCACCCGGCACTCGGACCACGATGGCCAGAGGGTTAAGCCATGGCGCTTTAAGCCACTTGTTCTGCGACGCTTTGTTACAGCAGTGACAGACACCAACAGCAAGGGGCAGAAACCAACAACCACAGGTGACCGAGCAACCTGTCCTCAGCCGGGGCAGGGGCTCAGGCCAGTCCTTGGTGGAGGGCAGCTCTCTCTGGAGACCCCGCGGCAAGAAGACTCTGGGTCCCAAAGGTGGAGGTGGCGGTGAGGCCAGGGGTGGAGGAGGAAGTGAAGCACTGCCCTCCTCCTGCCCGCCTGGCAGTGCCCGAGGCCTGGAGGGCGGGGACCAGGCCCGCTGGGCTCCCAGGGCACTGAGAGCCCCCAAGCCCCCAAGCTGCCTCAGTGCCAGTCGGCCACAGCTGAGTCCAGAGTCCTGCCTTCCAGACGGGATCTCTACAGCAGGAGGAGGAGGAGTGGGTGTGGGAGGGGGTGTGGGAGGGCGGGGTATCTGGGTGCAGACGGCATGATGTACCCCCTCCCATCATGCGCTGGCTGGGCAAGCTCCGCGTGCCACCTAACTCCCCCGGGGGTGCGCTCTGCAGACGGGGACACCACCGTGCTGGCTCACACACACCGTAGTCTGTTTCCGCCTGGCAAGCCCAGCAGTCAGGCACAGGGAACTCCTCAGGCTGTCACCTGACACTATCTTAAGTCGGTGACTCACCAGGTGGTCAAGTGACCAAGCTAAGACAAGACCTCCTCGGGCACATCTCCCTCCAGTGGAGAACATTATTTAAGATTTCTAGAAACACCCAAGCCAGTTCTGCCGTCTCCCTCTGAACTGCCATTCCCCCGGGCATCCTCAGCCATCTGGGAGTTGAGTTGTCCTGGGACCCAGAGCCCTGAGCTTGTGGGGAAGTGAGCAGGAAGGGAGAGGGGGCCCAGACAGGCCCCCGGCACTGCCTCCTGTCACGACCATCTTTCAGCGACGGCTCCGACTGGCGAAGGGCAGCTCCTGCTTGCAGACAGCTCAGGAGGTGGAGAGTGCTGAGGGTGCCCCTCAAGCCTGTCCTGTGACCCCAGAGGGCAGCGAGCACCTGGGGAGGGCATCTCTCACCAGCAGCCCCTGCCGAGGCCACATCGAGCTGTTTCCCGTAACCTGGGCCGGTGTGAAGGCGCTGCTGTATTCTGTATTCTGCGGGGTCTGACGAGACAGGAGTGGGTCCCTGCTGGGGCCAGCACCCAAAAGCTATCTGTTTTAAGCCGTGTCGCTGAGTGAGGATGGACCTGTGTCCCGGCAGACAGGGATAGCGAGGCAACCTGGCCCTAGATGTGTACCTGCTCCAGCCCCAGCTGTGCGATCTGTGTGCTGTCAGAGGAATGGCGTGACCCCAGGACATGCAGAGCCTTGCAGCAGAGAGGAGGGTGGGCCTCCCACCTCCCCACTGAGCATTCCCAGGCTGAGAGCTGTCCGTCTCTAACATGGTGGGCAGGTGAGGAGAGCTCCATGGAGACTGGCACCATAAGCTGGCCTCACAGCCCTGCAGGTAGGATCACAGGTGCCTCTGGTAGGAGCAACCACTGGCCGCCCCGCCCCGAGTCCAAGGTGCCTCTCTACTCCTTCTACCATCCTTGCCACAAACCTGAGAGCCTGGCAGTGAAGTGGGCATCATGCCCCCAAGTGGGCACTTGGCCCAGAACCAACCCCTCCACCAGATGGAGGGGACAGCCAACAGGTGCTGAGCCCTGCCAGATTTAAAGGGCAGGCAGCCCCAGCACACCCCCTCTGGTGCCCGTGGCGTGTTACCATATTCGCCGAAGCGCAGGGACTCCCACTGCTGCCACTCCACCAAGACGCTGACGGCGCGCACCCCGGCGTAGATGAGCAGCATGCCCACGGTGGCGTCCAGGAGAAAGTTGATGAGGTACCTACGAGGAGTGGACACACTGGCGGTCAGGGGGCTGCGGGCTGGGGATGGTGCTTCCAGGGAGAGAGGGCAAGGCTGTCCTTGCGTGGGGGCTGGCCGCCGTGACCGTGCCCACACACACTCCAGGACAGAACGAGGACGTGCACTCTCGTGAGGAGGGGACCACTGTGGGAGAGGGGAGGGGACAAAGGAACTGAGAAGTCCCCGCGTGTTCCTGCCAGGAGAAGGCTGAACACAAGATAGGGCACTTGGAGGCGGGCAAGGAAATCGAGGGGAAAACAGAACTGACCAGGACGGAAGGAAATGAGTAAGCACGACTGGACGGTTCGAATGCTGTCAGTGAGGGGCCTGCAACTGTGCTGTGGCACCAACGCTCAGCCCCTAGCAAGTCCCAGCAAGGAACATTTGCACCCATTCAGGACGCAGCTTTACAGCCACGGCCAAAGGCAAGATGGCGGGAGGAGGCCGTGGGGGAGATCAGGCACCCCGCTGACCACGTGTTCTGAGGTCGGCTTCCAGGTCTGACACAAAGCCTCTGCCCTCTCCAGACAAGACCCCCACCCTTAACAACAGGCCCGAGCCTAGATCTCCACGACTGGGCTGAGCACAGGCTCCAGCTCTCCCCAGCAGAGTGGGAGGGTCATGGGCTCACGCAGACCGTCCGGAATCCCTTCTGACAGCCTGGAGACATGAGGCCCGGCTGCTGGGCGCTGGCCAGTTGTGGTGGCTTGAGCCACTCTGCAGGCTCGCAGCCGCTCACACCGCCAGGCGCTGTCACTGCACTCTAACCCCAGAGGCAGAGGCTGTGCTTGGGACCCCAGGGCCACCAGACCAGGGCCTCTGGCCTGCCCTTCCTCTTTCAAGTCACAAGGGGTCACTCTCAGACCAGTGACGAAAGGAGCAGCAGCTGCTTCTGGTTCAGGGTCTCCTCTGGCCCGAGGCTCTGTGCGCTCGGATACGGATACCTCACTGGTGTCCAGAGCTCCACGCACCTGACTCCTTGGAGCACCCAGGACCCATCCTGCAAATAACCCATGGACGGACACACTGGCTCATGTTCACCTACACGACTCACTGAGCCGTGGGTGCCAGGCCTCGAGCATAAAACCAGAAGGCTCTATACTCTGTACTCAACAGAGGTGAGACAGAGAGATGGCAGGACATCACGTGGGTTCAAGTCCCAGCTCCACCACCCCTGGGCTACGTGAACCTCTCTGTGGCCGGTTTCCCTGACAGCAGAATGGGCTTAGCCAGAGGATCCATCTGGCCAGGGCTGCCGGCAGGTGAAGGAGGCAGGGGACAGAGCCAGAGAGGAGGCGGTGAGTCCCCTCAGCCACGCCGTCTCTATGAGGGGCCCCGTCCAGGCCCTGTGAGCCAGGGGCTCAGCAGGTCATAGCCTGACTGTGGCTTCAGACAGACAGCTCTGAAACTGTGTGAACGGCACCATGCCGACAGGAAAGGGGACCCATACTCCTCGGGTCACAGAGGTCAAGAATGGTCAACAACAGCTCTGACCTGCAGGGTGCTGTGGGGGAGCTGGGGGAGCCAAGGCACAGAGCAACCACCCCCACGCAGAGCCCAAGAGCCCAGGGACAGCGGCATACGAGCTTGGGGTAGGGGCAGCACACACAGGACCTCAGCTCAGGGGGACACAGCGCAGCGCCCTCCCCAAGCCAGAGAGAGCAGGATGGGTGCAGAGGGCAAGGGCAGCCCACGGAGTCAGTACACTCACAGTGAACAAGGGTCCTCTTCCGTGAGATCTGCTAGGTACACGTTTGCAAAGTGGATGAAGAGCATGCCTATGGCTTGTTTCGAAGTGTCTAAAAACCTGTGCGAAACAGAAGTGACACTGGTTAGCAGCCTGATGGGAGTGGGGGCGGCCAGCTTGGAAAGACGACCAGTCTACACCAGGTAGAAAGCCAACAGGGAGACACCCACCTTCCAACGACCAATCCTGACTTCTGGGGCCTACAGGACCAAGCTGGGGGTAGCATTTCAGCTGCCTTTCAAAGTCTCAATAAACTTGCCCTGGAAATTCTTACAGGGCCCTCGATGGATGTCATTTAAAGTACGTGTGTTTAATGCTTCACCTTTCGTTACTTCAAAATAAAACGCCCAGTCTGGTCACTGTCTTGATGGGGCCCCAGGTGCCCCACTTTAAAGGGCCCCATCCGAAGTCACTCAGCACAGGTCGCACTGTGTGCACACGCGTGAGCCTTGCACAGATCCAGCACGGCAGCGGACGCCCTCACAATTTTCAACTGCTGCTACTCAAGCAAGTCAGAGCAGGTGGCCTCCTAGAAGGGGCCAGAGAGGAGACGGTCCAGGTTCTGCGGGCCACATGTTCTCGGCCACACCAACCACTCAGCCCTGCCGTGGCGGCATGAAGGCAGCTGCAGATGCTGCCCCTCCAGCAGTGGGTGGGCCTGCAGGCTGGGGTGGGCCAGCCCCCCGGGCGAAATGCCAAGCTCACTCAAACAACAGTAGCCACCCTGTCACCCCGTCCGCGTGGCAGGAACGTGGGGGCGGGCGCTGTGTTCCTTTAGTCTCTCCTTTGCCATGATCAACCAGAACTCAGTCCACGGTCACCTGTCTCGGCCTCCAGCTGGATGCCGGTCATGGGGTCTCAGGATGGGAATGGACCATGGTGAGTATCCAGACCCACCCTGTGACCGAGGCTTAGAAATCGCGCCCTAAACTCACTGGCCAGGAGTTCACACACAGAGTCCAGGTCGCCCCCCAGCCCCAGGTGGGAGCCTCCCGCTCTCAAGTTCTGAGTTCTGTGAGCAGTTCTAGCAATGTTTAAAAACACATTTATTTATTTGAAATGGTAGAGAGAGAGAATATCTTCCATGCAGTGGTTCACTTCGCAAATACCTACAATGCCAGGACTGGGCCAGGGTCTACCACATGGGTGGCAGGAACCTAAGTACCTGAGCCACCCTCCACTGCCTCTGAACTACATTAGCAGGAAACTGGACTGGAAATGTAAGAACCAGGACTTGAAGTGGGCTCTCCAATATGCGACAAGGGTATCCCGAATAGTGGCTTAACCTACTATGACCAAACACCTAAGGAACCTGTAAGGGGACCCTTGACTTCGTAGCCGAGTTGAACAGAAGAGTGGGGACCCAGAGGACCCATTATCTCGACTGGCATCCAAGGTGGGGGGCAGCCTTGGGGAGAAGAGCCCTCGACTCCTGGGGTCCCCAGGTAGACAGCGGCAGAACCGAAGGCAACGACGGGACACTCGGTGTCTGGAGTGAAAAGCTGACTGACGTGGGGAAAGTGTGGCGCTGGAAGTGAAGCGGGCAGGAAGTCGTTCCCCTTTATCCTAGGTCCGAGGAAGGCTAGTTTTGGGGAGGGGCACTCACACTGTGTGTGACGCGTCTGATTTCAGACTGGGTTTGTTACACACAGAGACTACAAAAGCCCAGAACCTCATCTAACAACAGCAGAGACAAAGGGGCCTGTGGCAGAGACTAACGCATTTGTACTACCCTCCATCTTCCAAACCCAGAAGCTGAAAGTTTGTAGAATAAAGGTAGGCTGCTCAGATGTCGACAGAAACAGATGGACTTGCATTTATACAGAGCTCCTCAGGTCAGCTGTGTAAGGGCTTCCAGACCCTTTATGTTAGAGCTAACTTCTCCATCCACCCCCTACCCATTTCAGCATCCCTATGCCCCACAAAATCCCACAACCCAGCACAGTCCACAGCATGCTAGGAATGAGTCCGTAACTAAACACGTACCATATCCTCCATGGCCGCCTCTCGTGCTTTGGTTCTCGGAAGCGTTTGACTGAAAGAGAAGAGAGAAGTCAGTGCTTTCCAAGGCAACAGCATCAGGCGCACCGCGTCGGTCCCCTCGCGGTCTGCACCCTCTCAGCTGTGACGTCACACAGGCCCTACCCTGCTGAGGACCAGCACCGGCTTTCAGAGCTGGGCACTAAGGAAGAATGACTCCTGGCAGCAGGCACAAGCCCACATGTCCTTCTGCTTTGTGACAAAGCTCACTCAGCTAAGCACTGGAGAGAACGAAGCAGCACTCAGCTGCTTCTAGCTTCTGGACATGTTCTACCCAAGGACAAGGCCACACATCCACACACACACACGCGCGCGTACCAGGTGCCTGCTCCAAGCCAGACACGGGCAACACAAAGGCAGACCTGACTGTCTGGCAACTGGGGGACAGGCACACAGCCACAGCGTGGTAAGCAAAGCCTGTGGTGGAAGGCCAGCTGGGGCCTCCCGCCTTGGGGGAAGGGAGATGGTCAAGCCAGGCCCCGAAGGCCAGGTAAGAGTTTGGCAGAAGGACGAGGGAGGGGAAAGAAGGTACATTCTGGCCAAGCCAATGCCAAGAACGGGCGGCTCCAGGGATACCACATGGCAGGGCATATCTGGCAGAAATTCAGTTGGCCTTCGTAATAAGGGAACCTGCTGGGGCAGTAGCAGGCAAGAGCTGACAAACTGAGCAGGGGCCAAAGGAGCGAGGGTCTTGAGTGCTGGGCCGGGCAGCCTGGTAGGAATTCTGCGGGAGGAGCTCGAAGAGAGCCACAGCCAAACGCCCTCAGCGTGGATGATGGACGGCTGGAGGAGGACGAGGCTGCGGTCCCAGCTCTGGGCAGGGGCACTCCAGCCACCGGGTCAGCCACCGCCCAGTCATCCTCAGTCTGCGTCTGCAGACACAGCCGTGCCAACAAGAGGAATAGAGTTTCAAAGCCACACGTCCACCAATGAAGCCTCGGCGTGCACCCACACGACAATTCTATCTACCGAACCAGCGCTGCCTGTGTGAGGCGGGCGACGCTCTGGAGGGACGGTACTCCTGTTAGCAGGCAGGTGCCGCCAGTGCGGGGCGGGGTGGGGGGGAGAGGATGGCATCCAGCTCAGTAAACCTGCTCTCTGGGCAAACACGGGCAGGCAAGGGCTGCCTGAACGGAGAACAGAACCGCACATCTGGTGCTCAGAGACACGGCGCTCGAGGGGGACCAGGAAGCAGGAGGGGCTAATGTGTCACAGATCCAAAACTTCAACGCTGTCGGAGATTCTGAAGTTGGGGCCAGAGGTTCCAGTCAACCAAACGGCTCTCGGCGCCGAAGGCTCCTTCCCAGGAGCAGGCCACGAGGACCGGAGGGACCAAGGAGAGCCATTCAGGACACAACCGCCTGGAGGAGAGCCCCTGGCCTGGGCCAGGGTCACTGCGCTGTCCAGGGGAAATCTGTCTTCACCCCTACAAGACAAAAGGCGTCAAACTGCTCCCCAGGACAGTGCCCGTGTCCCCAGGAGACGCACTCAGAAACAGCACAGTGGCTGCAGTGTGTTTTCAAACAGTTAAGGGGGTAACTGCGCATTACCTAATTATATAATTAATACACAGTATAAGCACTATAATTACAACATATGCGATTATGTAATAAACCTATTATGCTATAACACTATATTGATGTAAGTGTACACATATTGAGAAAGGGAAGCAAACACGGTTTTACAGGCTTATTATGGGCTGTGTCCCCTAAATTCATATACTCAAAAGCCCTAACCTCTGGCCCTCAGTACACAGGGGTGTTTAGAGAGGTGGCCTTCAAAAGGGTGATTAAGGCTAAATGAGGTTCTGTGGGTGGGCCCTGCTCCGATCGGACCGGTGTCCTGCTAGGAGGAGAGGACACAGCTGTGTGACTGCACCAGACCATGTGGAGGCACGGGCAGTGGAGACAGGTGAAGGTCTGTGATGTTTTGCTACACAGCCCCAGCCCACTGATCCTCGGGCAGCAGGGTGGGCAGTGAATCTCATGGAGGCCCACCGGGGTCTCTATGACAGCAGGACTTAGATTTTTCTGCAGACAAAGAGTTGGTGGGGGAGGCGGTTAGGAAACATGCTCCAGAAGAATGAACTAGGACAAACATCCAAAGCTGAGCTTGGCAAAGTCTGTGAAGATCTCCAATGCCCGCGGCCCTCCCTCCTGCAACGCCCTGCCACACAGATCCCACAGGTGCGGCTGCAGCCGTCCGGACGCACAGCGGTGTTCCCTGCAACATCGCCAGAGCAAAACCCTGGGAGGGAGCCAAAGCGGAGTACGCCAGCACGGGCTCGGCGGGCATACCTGCCATGGCACATGGACGCCACGTCACACCACGCAGCTGCTAAAAACAAGGTAGAGCTACACGAGCAAATACAGGACGATTTTCAAATCGTGTACATGCTGCAGAATATGCCTACTGATTCTGTTCATGTTTTCTCACATATTTATTTATTTGAAATGCAGAGTTAGAGAAAGAGGAAGAAGGAGAGGGAGGGTTGGAGGGAGGGGGAGGGGAGAGGGAGAAAAAGAGGGGCAGGGAGGAAGGGAGAGAGAGGTCTTCCATCTGCTGGTTCATCTTCCAATGGCTTCAATGGCCTGGGCTGGGGTGGGCCAGGCCAAAGCCAGAAGCCAGGAGCTTTTTTGAAATCTCCTACAAGGGTACAGGGGCCCAAGTACTTGGACCACCCTCCCAGGCGCATTAGCAGGGAGCTGGATAGGAAGTGAGCAGCCAGGACTAGAGCCAGTGCCCAAATGGGACGCCGGCCCTGCAGGCAGTAGCTCTCACTACGCCACAGTGCTCGCCCCTCATGTTCATTTAGAATGGTATATATACTTATTCATTCAGTTGATAGAGTGATGGGGAGAAAGAGAGTGGTGGAAGGGAGAGAGTGAGGGTCCTCCATCTGCTGGTTCACTCCCCCAAATGCCTGCAACAGCAGAAACTGAACCAAGCGAAAGCTAGAAGCCAGGAACTCCATCCAGGTCTCCCACACGGGTGGCAAGGACCCAAGTATACTTGGATCCTCTTTCACTGCCTTCCCAGGTGACTTAGTAGGGAGCTGAATCCTAAGTGTAGCAGCAGGGACTTGAACCAGCGCTCTGGCGACTTAATCCTCTGTGCCACAACATGCGCCCCTTTAATGGTGTTTATTTCTGCTGCCGTTACACATATCTTTTACCCTATTATCCTAACAGGATACCTAAGTGATTATTTTTGTTGTTGTTATTTATTTTTTCTGACAGGCAGAGCAGAGTTAGACAATGAGACAGAGAGAAAGGTCTTCCTTCCATTGGTTCACCCTCCAAATGGCCACTACGGCTGGCGTGTTGCGCCGATCTGAAGCCAGGAGCCAGGTGCTTCTCCTGGTCTCCCATGTGGGTGCAGGGCCCAAGCACTTGGGCCATCCTCTACTGCCTTCCCAGGCCACAGCAGAGAGCTGGACTGGAAGAGGTATAACGGGACTAGAACCCGGGGTGCTGGCGCCGCAGGCGGATGATTAGCCTAGTGAGCTGCGGCACCAGCCCCTAAGTGATTGTTACAAAGGGCTACTTCTGATGAAAGGAATTACAGGTCAGGGAGGCAGACTTTTTGTATCATTCTGAATGGTTTAAACATTCCTTCATGTATTTGTATTGCTTTTATTTCAAAATCTAGAAAAGGCAACCTTGGTTTGGGAAGTTGATGCAGCAAAGCAGGACCGAGACCTGGTGTCATTCATCGCTGGGCCTTGGGACAGGAACGGAGGATGTTGTGCTGGGGCAGCTACACACAGGAGCCCGCGACAGAATTCAGGTGGATTCACACTCTTCTGGAGGGGCTGGTGTTGCGGCATAGTGGGTTTAGCTGTCTTTTGTAATGCAGACATCCCACGTCAGAGTGCAGGTTCAAGTCCTGGCTGCGCTGTTTCCGATCCAGATTTAGGCTAATGCAGCTGGGAGGGAGAAGACTGTCCAAGTACAAGGGTCCCTGCCGCTCGTGTGGGAGACCCGAATGGAGATTCTGGCTCCTGGCTTCAGCCTGACGCAGTCTTGGCTGTTGTGGGCATTTGAGTAGTGAATCCACAGATGGAACCTTTCTTTCTCTCTCTCTCTGCCTTTAAAAAATATATATGTATACGTGTATATATATGTATATGTATATAGGTATATACATGTATGTATGCATGTAAAGTATAGCTCCTGTCTTCATCTCCCTTCCTCTTTCCTTGGAATATTCTAGAGTCAAAAATCTTTTTGTTTTTTTAATTAAAGAAAGAAGAAATACTAAGAGAACCGCTCCAAGTATGATTTGAAAAGGAGAACAAAACAGGGAAATTCACCCTCCGTCCTGTCTTGTGAAGGGGCCCCCTGTGTGACAAGGCCCACTGGGCAGGGGAGGAAATGGAAAACCTGGGCCTCCCTCACAAGCGAGAGGAGGGGAGAGGAGCCAGCAGGGAGCAGCAAGCAAGGGGCCACGCGGGACTGCTGCCTAGGAGCCCGTGCACCGGGGATGCTGGGCCTACGGTCAACAGGCTGGCTCCGGCTACTGTGCCGAGAGCAGCCTGAAGGGGCGACGCGGCAGCAGGGAGACTGGTTAGAGAACACGACAACCTAGGGCAGAAGGACCGCAGGGCCGGCAAGGACGGAGGACAGGTCGGACCCGCGTGGAGCTGACCGTGGATGGGGTGCGAGGAGGCCAGAGCTCAGGCAGAGCACGGACCGGCTGGCCTGGCCTAACCGCCGGGGCTTCTGCAGCATGGAGACAGCTCACTCGGACGGGGCCCAGCAGGGCCACCACTCACCCCAAGGCCCAGTGGTGGCCAGAGGAGGGAGGCAGGCAGGCCTCCAGGGCTGCTCGGGCCCTGCCACCAGACCTGGAACCAAAGGTTGGTGGTGCAGCACCAGAGCGATGGCTCCCAGTGCCACCTCCAATGGCGCTTCTCCACAAACCGCCCCGCCCAGGGTCACACCACGTGTTATCTCCGGAGACGAGCCACGGCACTTCCACCATCCATCCCTC